AAAAGCTATGCGGCTGTAGGTCGGCATTATGGAATTAATGAATCTTCCGTTCGTTCCATAAAGAAGGAAGAAAAAAACATAAGGAAGACAGCAGCAATAAGTTTTAATAAGGATTCAAAAAGGGTTGCAACTGCCCGCAACAAGACCAGGTAATTTGTATTTTTTTCATAATCATTTTTAATTTTCTCCCGTTCACGGTGGGCGGTGCTAATCTCCGCAATTTGAAGCCTTCTGTTCACGTTGATGATTAAAATTATTATTTGACAGTACATTACAGAAGTTATTTGTTGAAACGTTTCTAAAGTACTTTTATTTTACTTTATTTGTGAAACAAATGGTTGAGACTGTAAAATGGTTTGTTCGTTCTTTCTCTTCTTTTTCTGAGTATTTAATTGTAAAATATAAAGATTTCTACTTCACGGATTTTGCCTATCGCGGGTTCTTTTTGGAACGTAACCCCCGCGAAAAACAAGGGTTTACTGTATATAAATTTGTATAAATATATGACAATAGAGATACCATAACATTTTAGATGAAACCAAACTAGCCTAAAATTGATTCATAAAACCATAACCTTGGGCCATGGCCTCATAAAAGCAAAACGCTTGAAGTTTAACTCCAAAGTTAGCAAAAAGTCATTCTCTGAAAGTGAGTTTGTTTTTAAAAAAATGAATTCTCTGGATTTGTTGGTCTCCTTTGTCCTTTAAAAGCCCAGAGTAAACAACCTCCATTTATTAACAGATAACATTGTTCAGAATAAATGCCACCGTCGCAGAAGTTCAGCTGAAGGATCGAACAAATCAAGTTCCTACAGTGACTGTTTGTTCTGTTAGAAATCACTGTTGTATAAGAGCAAAAAGAAAAACCTGGGGTTTTTTGTTCACTTTGTCGTCAACCAACGCTGCCTTCAGATTAAAGCGAAACTTGGACCTAAAACATTTGAGGGAAAATGATTCATTAGACAAGTGCAGTGCTTGTTGAGAAACGCGTTGATGCACAAGAGCGTTGTAAATAAAAAGAGAATGGCCTCCGCTCCATCAGAGGACCAAATGTGAAGGAGGATAAACAAGTGTCTGCTTCAGTTTGATTAAAGAGGCTGATAAGGAGAATAATGATAATAATGATGAGGTAATGGTGTGTCCATGTTCTGTTTCTTTGATTGGACACGGATGGATGGATGGATGGATGAATGGATGGATTATAGATGGATGGATGTGCAGTGTCATACATGTTTGTGGCGGTGTGATCATTCCATCCCGCTGTTGCTCCACATCAGTGACTGCCGGCTGCTGCAGCCTCAGCTCAACAGGGGAACTATAGTCTAAGCCCAATTATGGCTGTGTGTTTCCCTGAACCATTCTGATGTAAGGTCACAACAGAAAGGGCAACATCAGCCAGCACAATGGTTTGTCTATGTCTGTGTGTGTCCTCAACAATCTGGATTTTCTATTGTGTCTATAGAATAATCTATTTGGTCTGTGGCAACAGTAGAAAATCCCTGTATGGGCTTCAGCAGAGTTTTCATTGGCTGGGCTGAGTCTCCTGTCTATAGAAATAATTATGTGTGTATATATATATATATATATATAAAATTCTTGTATTGCTTCTTCTTCGGTGTCATAACAAAAGTAAACACCAGGGGTGCATTCAATTCTGATTCATTGACATAATGATTTATTGAGTGTGAAAAGTGAACTTTTTTTTTGACTTGCAAGGCGTCTTTGTAACAAGTTAAACTAAAATACCTCTTGGATCTCGTCCATCGGTTCTTGTCCATCAGGCTGTGACTGCGCCCCTTATATTGACTCTCTGAATGAAGACATTTCATTGTACATTTGGATTTGCTCACTGCTTTTAACACTGTTTAAATGGCCTATTGCAGCGCTTGTAGCTGCGCTGCTGCTTACTAATGACCACACCAAGTGATAATGCTCCACTTATCTACGTAAAGACCACCCACAGAGCGTGCACCTGCTTGTTCACGACAATACCAGCAGTCTGCACCAAAGTCAGGGTGGAAGTACTGGTCAGAGGAGGTGGAAATGTGTAAAACCTAAAATGCTTTTTCTTTTTTTTTCTTTTTTTTCCATTTTGTTTTTCTCTTCCTTTTCCGTTGCAGGGAAAATGAAGGATGTAATCTAATACAGTTCTGGGTTGCAGGCTGCTCTTAATGTCTTTCTAAATGGGCTCATTTGAATCTGTTGAGCAGCACTGAGCTTCTCGCTAATGATCTCAGAGTGATAACGCTTCAGTTGCTTTCTTTAAGTCTGCCGCTGTACTGTGCAATCTGCCCTGAGTGTCTAGACCCAGCTAGGCTGCACGCACACGCAGGCTTCAACCTATTAGAGCAGAGAAAATCTCCTATAGACCCCCCCCCAACCCACACACACACACACTTATACACACGCACATATACACACAGCCAATGTTTTTTTCTGTTTTGTGAGCGCCTTACATCGACCTAATGAGTCCCTCAGCACTTTACTCTAACTTTAATGCCTGACAATAATCCTCACCTTAACTCTAATCTGACCATAGTTCTCGACCCAACCTCAAACTAAACCTCTTGATCTTCAAAATGGGGATGGGCCTCATTGGGGACCTACAAAAACACGAGGTCCCAGAACAACAGCTGCATATTCAGATAGTGTCCCCACAAATGTAGGAAGAAGAACACACACACACACACACACACACAGCACAAGTTTAAATGCAAACGAGAGCGTAGCCTGTGCCTCGCTCGTGTACAACAGCAGAGAGGAGTCGTATGTTACACCAGGACAGACACAGACACAGACACACAACAGTAACACAACTGTGTTTGTCCTGTTTCATATGCCCACGTTTGAACATGTCAGTCTCAAATCTCTCAAATCAAAAATGAAACTTTTTCCTCCTCCATCAAAAATCTTGTCAACACTCATTTCAGCAGAACTCCTTCACATCGGTGGTGGTTAAATGGGGGGGAAATGAATAAATGCCACTTTGTATCTGAAGACAGGGCAGAAAATCCACCAGATTTGAGGCAAGAATCATCGTTTCATGAATTAAATCCTTGAATAAAACTAAATCATATGAAATTAAATTTTACATTTCACTTGGCTATAAATTTAGGTTTGTTCGTGGCGGTGGATTGTCAGAGCTTCAAAGCGTCAAATCATGTTCTTAGTTTACTTCTTCATAAAAGATATTTCTATTTTCCTGTTGCAGCTTAGCAACCGTTGTCGTCTGCCTTTATTACCAGTGACAACAACAACAACATTTAGTTTTCTTCTTCATTAAAGATATTTCCATTTTCCTGTTGCAGCTTAGCAACCGTCGTCTGCATTTATTACCAGTGACAACAACAACAACAACAACAAAAACCCAAATAAAGTGAAATACATTTTAAACACAATAAATTCACAAAACACTTTAGCATTAACCATAGCTGTAACTGGAGAACAGTTGTTAAATTCTGGAAAGATAGTAGTAATTAATCAAGCAATTTATCAATCATTTTTAATTGAATACAAACATACAGAGCAGGTATCAGGCAGTGTGGTGACGTCGTCCAGGACTGACCTGGGACCAGCGTCATCAGCTCTCTCTCAACCAATGAGAGCGTTTTGGGACGGGGCTAAGACTGCTGTGGTGCAGTAATGAAGCCATTCTGATGGGGGTGCTGGTGTGCAAGTTACATATACTACAGAAGAAAAAATAACTTTGATTACCTCAATCCTTACTAGGACATATTTTACCAACCAGTACTGTGAGAAAACATTCTTTTAAGGATTAAAATATACATTTATTGTCCTTTGGTTTACGTTGCAGAAAACCAAACATTTTTAAAAAATCCATTGTTGATGTGAAGACTCTAAACACGTACTTTAATTAAATTCCCTCAGACACATCACCTGCCACCTAAAACCGCTACCCCGCTGTATATATTGGACTGTGAACATATATGTACGTCACAGTCCTGTCATCTTAATATCCAATCTAAATGCCACATGTTTTATTCATCCAACTCTTGTCATATGGTGTGTGTTTAAAATGTATATTTTCAGGATTAAAAGCAAATAATCTCCCTAGCAAAAAAGAAAAAAAACACCTGACTTTACATCGTGTGCTCGGCTTCATTATTGTGACAAATGCAGCCCAGGGTTTTACACCGCACTGACAGAGTTCTCTGTGTTAAACAGTTGTTTGTCTGTTTTTTTTTAATCCGGTTCAGTAAAACAAACTGATTTAAACCACCTCCTCAGACAGAGTCACTCTATCAGTGCCATAATCCACTGTTAAAGAGGAGACAGGTTGGAGAGGAGTATTTTTAGAAAAAGAAAAAAAAGTTAGATTTGTATTCCAGGGATGTGTGATTGCAGCTACAGCCATGAACGTGACTTTATCAGAGGGAGGCATTTAGCAGCAGACGTGTGTGTGTTTGTGTGTGTGTGTGTGTTTGTGGGCAGTGTCTGCAGTATATTTTTCCTTTGTCTGGGAATATGTGTATAATGTATAAAATATATCACGTAAATGTTGCCAAATATGGACAAGGACATCAGGCTTTTGTCAAACGTTTATCTTTTCTAAAAATAATCACAATACGTTGTTTGTTTGGTCGCTGCCAAAGAAAATGTAATTAAAGTGAATGTTGATCAAGGTCAATAACACATTCAGACTAATGGAAACTGGCCGAGCTCTGGATCGTCTTTTAATTCAAATGACAGTCTTTGGTGTAAAAGCTACGGGTGGATGTTTGCTGCTTCAACAAAAAGTTAGATTTAGTTTTTTTTTTCTTAGTCCACATCAAGTCCAAACTGCTAAAAAACCAACTACAGTCTAAACTATATATTTTTATATTTTTGTATTTGACTTGACCTCTGAAGATCACAGTTTAGCGCGGCTGTTTTACACACAGCCACGGTGTTGTCCTCCTTCTCGGTGTCTTGTCGTTTCCTGTTCTCCCCCCACTGTAAACACCGTGTGTTCTGAGCTGTCGTCTGTTTGCCGTCCTTCAGGTGATAAAGCTCTCCTTCGAGGAGTTTGACCTGGAAAGAGGATATGACACCCTAACTGTGGGAGATGGCGGGAAGATCGGAGACACTCGCAGGGTTCTTTATGTGTAAGTACTGTGAAGCCCCGGCCTGTTGTTGCTGCAGACACTTTGACAGGTATCCACGGCCGTGCACAAAGTCAAATTGATGATGGTCCAACACTGAGGCCCGCTGGTTTGGTGAGGACATGGTGAACCTCGGATTTACTTCATATTATATGAACCTGACCACAGTACACAAATACACACATTTATATATATATATACACATATATATACACCATATATATATATATACACTGTATATATATGTACTATATCTTGTATGTACTATATCTATATATACTGTATATATTGTATATGTACTATATCTTGTGAGCAATATTTAATTTTTTAGCCTTTTTTTTCAAATATTTAAATGTTATATCATTTGATTTGGTTGATCTACTTTTGTTTACTACTTCTCTAAAAACATGTAATATTTAATGTTTTTAAAGTATTTTTTTAATTACCAACTTGCTACTTCTGCAAACCCCTTAGGGGTTGAGGACCCCATGTTGAGAAACTCAGAATTAAGTGAATTAATAAGAAGAAGCAGTGGAAATGTCCCAGAATGGAAACACTTCATAGTCGTTTTTCTACTTTGTGCTTACAGCTGACGTTGAAATAAGTCTTGATGGTGTGTGTGTGTGTGTGTTTGCTACACACAGACTCACTGGATCCAGTGTCCCTGACCTCATCGTCAGTTTGTCCAATCAGATGTGGCTTCACCTTCAGTCGGACGACACCATCGGTTCAGCGGGGTTTAAGGCCGTTTACGAAGGTACGATAAAAAAAACACACTGACTGAACCATACTGCTGTGTCAGTCTGTCACTAACACACACACACACACACACACCAGCACACACCATTGTCTACACAAACACATGGTCTGTTTCCATAACTGAGTGTGAAAGTCATGGCGTTGCTGACCTGCTGATCCAATAAAACGTCGTCTGTCTGCGTCTCCACACTCCAGCGTAAACGTGTGCCGTTGATCTTCTCAGTACGGCGACAGATAAATTACGACTAATTCTCCTCATCACTTCACTTGTTTTTCTACGCCTAAGACCGCACACAGACTGTGGCGGTAAACACAGGTGACGGAGTGAAATCAGGACACTCATTTATAAAACTTGTTCTTTTCAACTCTCCACTCGGACCGTTCACATATTTAATCACACACCGCATGTCGCCGTGTCAATAAAGCCCCCTTAAAATCAAATTGTTCTGGTGCCGGACTAGACAGAACTCACTGGAGACGCGGGCGGAGGCGAGCGCAGGGAGAGAGGCAATAAAGGTAGGGACGGAGGACGAGGGACAATCGTGAAATTGAGTGATACAGACGGAGACAAAATGACAAATTGAGTGAGAAGAAGAAGAGCGGCCCGCAGTCCAGTGAGACGGAGAGAGAAAGGGATGGATTTGGAGCGATGGCTGTTGCGCTCCTCAATTTGCTTAGCAGCGTCTGATCCAGTGATGTCGTCCAGGGTTGGGGTTTCTGTTGGAGGCTGTGTGTGAATCTCTGATGTCAGACTCTTAATACCAATTCACACTCTGAGGACGCCATTGGCTCAGGGTGAGGCTTAAGTGCGACTGACCTTGATTGACAAACTAACCTTGTCTTTGCTCCGATGTATGGGCCGTTTACTGCCTCTTATATATTGGCTGTTGGCCTTAATGATAACATAAAGCACACACACACACACACACACACTCTCTCACCGTCCAGTAACCCTAACTGATGTCTCTGAGTGATTACAGTAGACACTGTGAGGTGAAGGCCTTCGCTGGTTTTAGCAGGTTTTTACTCCTCATCTGGAACGTTCCAGTTTAGAGGAAAAGACTCAAAGGAAGCTGTTTGACAGAATTTATTATTTATTAAAAATCAATCACCAATAAAACTACTGTATACTTTAGCATCCAACAATTCTGAATATTAATCATTATTATTAATTGAGCTACTTTCTCATCCTGCAATGGGGAAATTTACAGTGTGAGCCTGTGCAACTGACACAGGCTGCCACAGGAGGCGCCATTGTACTTGGTACTTGGTTACCATAAGGGTGGTGTCTTTAGCGATATGTTGATGCTAAAGGTGGTGTCTTTAGCGATATGTTGATGCAGGAGTGATATCGACGATATAATGGAAAACACTTCAGGCGATGAAAAGATGAAGTCAGAAAAAGTAAAGAAATATTGGGCAAAATTGAGAAAAATAAGGAATAGGAGAGGGAAGGACGAGGGAGAAAAAGAGAAAGAATAAAAGAAACAAATGAAAAAAGAAAAACAAACATAAATAAAGAAAAGACGAATAGAGAAAGAAAGACATTAGGAACGCTCCGACCAACCAACAACAGAGACACAGAGACAATGTTCCCGTGACCTCTTAATGATCCTGTGTGTTGTATTCTCCAGAGCAGTGAACAAAGTAACTGTTTGTGCATGTTTAGATTCACTGGCTGTCACTTTGTATAATATCAGTGGCTCATAGACTTTGATCAGCGCTGCTTCACTCCCCTGTCTCTGAGAGCTCTCAGGCTTTTGCCCTGCAGGAGAAACCCAGCACTTATGTTTACTCGTGTTGCTGTGCTGTTGTGTTTTCCCCTTGTCTCTTCTAAATTTCCACATTTAACTGCTGTGACTGAGTGTGTTTGTTATTTTGCCTCCGTGATTGTGCTTTTCTGAGAGTGTGTGAGAAACGATGCTAATTGAAGCTCCTGCCAAGTATTGGAGTATTCAGACTGATGAGAACTGGCTGAGGAAAATATAATGATGTAAATCATCTGTTTGGGGTTTTTTCTACTCACTAGAGGTGAAATGATAAGAAATGATCTTGGAGGGTTTTTGAGCTACTTCTGTGACATATGACTACAACTATATATGTATATACTATATATATATATATATCTATATATATATATATTCTATATATATTACAACTATATATGTGTATATAAAAATGTGTTTTTGTATGCATTTGTTTGTGTCTCTATATACATACATATACATATGTAAATATGTGCATATATACAATATATATACTATGTATATACACATATATTTACACATATATGTATATATGCTATATATACATATATATGTAAATATTATGGGTGTATTTACACACAGGCCCTGGCACTGGCTATGTGAGTGTACAACTAAATATGAGAAAAAATTTCAAGATCTAGATCGAGACTTGGCAATTACCGGATATGTCAAACTCTACTATCCACAGCTACAATTCATAAACTCCTGTCTTCCACCAATCAGAGAGGCCCCAGGGTTCAGCGTCAAACCCACAGTAGTGGTTTTTTTCCTGACATTCTGTGCATATTGTAAAAACCCGTGTGAGCCACCGGTTGGATCAGGGAGAAGTCTCTGCATGAGCTCATGTCCAGCGCTGAAGTCCAGTGATTCTAGTCTGCCAGCTAACGAGCTAGCTAACCGCGTCAACCGCCTCTCGTTCCTCCAGTTGACGAGGTTTTAATGTAAAACTTTTGGCCGAGAGTCCGTCCGTGGTGGCAGCTCCGTCGCCCTAACACCTGTCAGTGTGTTTTCTCCTTGACGACAGCGCCTAGCTCGGGGCTATCTTCAAAACTTTCTGACAACTGTTGTCTGGAAAGTCACTAATAGAGATATTTTTACAGTTCCTAATCCAACCACACCTGGCTTTGTCTCTGTGGGCTGGCTGTCCACCATTTCTCCAAGTCCACTTTCACTAAACCCTCACTTGCAATTACTGGAATATATGGTCATATGTGTGTCTTAAGGGGTTAAAAATAAGATTCCTAACTACTGACCTGGAGGTCGGCGACTTCATAGTAACAGTAAAATCTATCCAGGTTGAAAAGGAACTATAAAAGGACGTCTACTTACTTATCAAAATATACTAACAATTGGTAGGTTAGAGCCAATGGTGCCTTCACTGTCCCTGGTAAAAAATGGATCAGTGTCTTCTACTCATGCTGGTACTGTTTTTGTCGATGCAAAACAGTTGTGCTTTGAATGCCGATACACTGAGTTTCACAGGTCTTTGTCAGAGCTAATGCGGCTCAGCTGCGTGAGAAGAAGTGCATTCAGGGTCCTGACAGAAACTGTTAGACAAGAAAGGACAGAAATGTCTGTAGGAGTAGATTCTTCTTCTTCTTGAAATTGATGTTTCATTCCGTCCTGACTGCGCACTTACAAGCCCTGGAGTCAGATGTTGTGTCAGCGACTAAAAAAAATAGATAAATGTCAGCTTGACAATATTGTTTGGATGGTATGATATCAGACATATTTAAAGTTTTTTGTAAGTCAGAGAATGACATTTCTCTCCATCGCTTGTTTTTCCGACTTCTACTTATCGCTGCAGTTCAAGGTAAAAACAACATTTAGAGACCAACCACGAAGACAACGAGGCAGTGCAGTATACTGTACACCAAGGGTGTCAAACATATGGCAGGCGGGCCAAAGCCGGCCCATCAGTGTGTTCAAAGTGGCCCGCTTGATGACTTTTGAAAGTGAAAAAAATGCACAAAAACATCATGTTTGTGATTTTTTAATTATATTTCATAAAATATGAAGATTTTCCAATAAACTTGAACTAATTTGCATGAAAACATAGGCAAAAAAACATGGATTTATGTTATTTATAGGTAATTATGTTATTATTGTACTGATTTGGACCAATTAGTTTAATGGTTAGTTTGATCATAGAGAAAAATTAAAAAAAAAAGAAACATTTAAAAAAAATCATAGTCAACATCAATTTGTTTATAACCAAAGTGGGAAAGAAAAACATGTTGGCTTTCAGTCAAAGAGAGGAGCCACATTTGTTTCTCTGATTAAAACACCAGCAGCTGAAGTGTTTTAGAAAAAAAATGGGTGACATCTTAATTTGTTATTTTTTTAAACAACGTATTTTTTAATAAAAGCAACCGAAGCTGCTTTTTACACATTTTCACTGAATCTGCCTGCGTGACTTACTGTGTACTCCTAAAGCTCACTCTAGTACTGCAGTACTTCTGAACCGTGCACTTTGCTTAATAAGGTTCTATACGTTCCTGACGTAACATACATTTATCAGGAAAATATGTTTGTACATTCGAGCTGGGAAATAATTACTTACAATCAGTAAATACAAGATGTTTTTTCAGGGTTGATTTAGTGCAGAAAATTAATTTTAAGTGTAATGTATTATGTAATGTAATATATATTGTACATATATAAATCCTAGTACTTTACCTCAAAAAACAGTTGGCCGTATTTCTACAGTCTTTCAAATGGACCGAACACAGGAAACCACTGAAAAGGTCCAGGAGTTCTTCTTTCACTGAAGGATTGGTTTTTTACATATGAACACATGTAGCCAATGCTGCTGTCAACCAATCAGCTTCGATGCCTGACACCCACCCTGTCTGTGCTTTCGCAGCACATGACGAGAGTTTTCTGAAGCAACAGCTGCGGCAGAGTCGATGCACAGATCACAGCCACACAGTTCTCTGTCTGTGATGCAACACTTCCGCACTGTAATCATCTCAACGCATCAGCCCGTTTCAGAACAAAACAGATTTCACACTTTACCTGAAATTTTGGTATTGACGTAAGACTTGAAATTAGTATATATGTATATGTATTAACATATACATATATATGTATATGTGTTGACATATACATATATATGTATATGTGTATATTGTGTATATAATATATTATATACACATATATTTATATATGTATACTGTATGTGTGTTAGCACATACATATATGTATGTGTTAACACAGTGTCACAATGTCAGTATATATATGTATACATATACATATAATGTGTGTTAACAGTGTCACAATGTCACTATATATATGTATACATATACATATACATATATGTATATACATATATACATATATGTATATGTATTTGTTAACACATACATACACAACACAACACATACATATAAAAATATATGTATATATTTTTCTGTATATGTATATTTGTGCATGCATATATATTTTTTATTTATTTTCACTATTGTTACATGACTGCAGGCCGTAGAGAATCGTAATTTCAATCCTCTGCACGTCCTCCTCCTAGCTCATGGTAGAGTAGACAGTTGAAGCAGAGTGTGGTCCCGACGTCTGCGGTTCCACCTCCCTCTTCAACCACTTGTACGTTGTGTTGTTCTTTCCTGCCCATCATCACTGCAGCTCTTCTTCTCTCCAGTGATTGTCATACCTGTTGTTCAAGGGCGGACAGTTGAGTGGTACCGTCAGACTGGTACGGCCATGTTCCTGACTCACGTGTTGATACTCTAAAGGCAGGAACCAAACACACACACGTGTAGTAGATAACAAAAACAAGGGAGGGGCGGCGGGGGCGGGGATTAAACTAAGGAAAAGAAACTCCAAACAAAGCACTCAGAGAGGAAGTTAACATCATGACACAGGTACCAGGAGCTACCAGGAGCTACAGGCGGCACACACACATCCTGACACTTGTCAGCTGGTGGAAACCTAGCTGAGGGCCACACACACTCACACAGAAACACACACTGTGCATCCACCGTGTTATGTCTGTGTGGGTGTACTTACATCCTGACACTGATAGTAAAAGTGTGCAACACACACACACACACACACACACTGCTCACCTTGAGATGTATTTGCCCAGAGCAGATCCAGGAGCATGGTGGAGCATGTGTTACAAGATGACAGACGTCTGGTGGAATGTGAAAATTTTAGGAGGGAAACAGAGGAGGGAGCGGTGGGGAAAAAAAAATCCATTAAACCAGGGGGAGAAGTGACAAAAAGAATGATAGGATAACATGTCATCGGTACTGCTGTGTGTGACAATCGAAGGAATAAAAGAACTCAAAGACCCCAGTACTGCAACTTTAAAAACCAGTTTACACCGTTGACTGTATAGGTTTTTAAAAACCATATGAAAACAAAGGAATTTCTTTTTGAGTTTTTGACAGATACATTTTTTTCAATAAAAATAGCTGTTTTGTAGGAATTGTAGTTCGTTTTTGACAGATACATTTTTTTTCCACTATTCAATAAAAATATCTGTTTTGTAGGAATTGTGTGTTCCAAAAATGTTCTGCAAATTTTAATATATAAATATATATAATATGTTAACTATTTGGGGGTTGATATTAGACCAATCTAGAGGAGGGGGCGCTGTAGAACTTTGGGAACCACACATTGGATTAAAAACAAATGGAATCATAAATAACAGAAAATGATCATTAAACTTTATTTTCATTTATTTTTTAAGTCATTATCAATCATATTTAGGAATATTTAGGAATATTTAAACTATTAATCCAATAGAAAAGGTGAGTCAAAAAGTTTTAGGATAAAACAAAAGAAAATGGGAAGTGGGAAAAACAATAAGAAAATAATATATATATATATTTAATTTTCAAATAAAAGCTAATTCTCTGTATATTCTCCATTTAATTTCTCCTACAATTCTCCATCCTTGTTATAAGATTTTGGGTGATGTCACAACCTGCACTTTTGCCTTGGCAAATCAAATTAACTTTCCATTTTAAGAAAAGAAAATGTTTTTTTTGTTTTTTGCAACACTTTCATGTTGGTTCCAATCCTCCTGATTCCCCATAACAAGATTGTTCATTGTTTGGGGTTTTTTTTTTTTAAAAACCTGATCAAAAAAATGGACCACAACTCATATCCTGACAAGGACATGATAATAAAAGCTGTCAAAGTCATTGGAGACGCCCGAGAGACGGACGTGTCCTCACATGTTTTAGATATCAGAATCTGGAACCTTTAAGATGACATCATCCGTCAAAGGAACAAGTCCAGATAAAAACAGTGTGTTCTTTTTATACACACACTGTCACAGCTGATGTTGTGGTGTTTCACCTCCTGCTGCTTTAACTAACAGTCGCACACATACGTCAGTGTTGGTGTGTGTGTGTGGGTGTGTGTGTGTGTGTGTGTGTGTGTACGCGTTCACTTACGCCTCTTTATTTTTTTATAATCAAAGCTAAATTGCGCTACAATTACCCTGATGACAATAAGCTGTGTGTGAGGAAGAGAAACACACTTAATGATTTTTTTCATGGCGTGTGTTTCATCTGTCATCACTGCTGTGTGAGAGAAGACGGAGACAGCGTCCGTGTCCGTGTCCGTGTCCTGTGCTTTCCCAGTCACGTTAACGTTTGTCAAAGTGATGACAGACTAACGAGAACTGCTGCCAGCGCTCCTTCAACCACCGTAGCTGTTACATGAATTTTAACTACGCTCTGCGTTTCCCATTGGGTCACCCTCAGCTTGACTGGCAGTCCTGTCAAGCATGTCCAAAGTATGGCTCGGGGGCCAAGTGTAGCACGTAAAAAGTTTAATTTAACTAATTACATTTCATATTGATTGTCAACCTTTTTATTTGTTTTTTCCTTTTTTTCCCCAATGTGTTTTTGTCCATTTTTTTTCTTAGCTAAGTTTGTTTTTGCCTGAGTTTTTGTCCATTTTTTTTCTTAGCTAATATTTAATTTTTTTCGTTGTTTTCTTACATTTTCCCCAAGTTTTCCTGGGCTTAAACTTTTATACATTTTATGCTCCATGTGTAAATGTTTTGGCAAGTTCTGGGTTCAATTTGAGCTGAAATATGTTCAATTTTTATTTTGAGAAATGCAAATAGTTGCTTTACTTTTTATTTGTTGTACATTTTTTATATATCTTTTTCAGCAGTGAAAGTGTCAAACTGCAACATAACAGTAGTTACTGGTAGTCTGATGTTTCCAGGGGAACATCTGATACTTGGTATTTTGGTACTTTGTATTTTTAAAACTTAGGTAAGAAGAGGAAGGTAGATTAAACAAATCACTTTTTTTACAGTCATGGAAACTAGATCATGAAAATGATTTGTTTTGTGAGACAGTCCTGACATCCAAAAAAGCATAATTCACTTTACTCTTTTTATCTTGGTTGACCAGGGATCTCAGTGTAAGGCAGTGAAGCCTTCCCACGTCATCATATTCAAAACTATTCCTTTAAAACTCCACTCAATTTTATTAAAAAATCGTGAAGCCTAAAAATCCATATTCTCAGATTTTTTCCCCTCGATGGAACAAATTATAATAATTATAACTGAATTCATTTCACTTGCTGTGCTCCTCCTGCAAGAACTACTGCGCCCACAAGGGGGGCCCATCCCTCGCTTTGGCAACCACTGATATAATGGAATTTAACACGTACAGATTCTGTTGATGTATTTATGAAAATATAGTGTTAGAACAATTTATTTTTCAATAAGTCTTGTATTGACTTGTCATATGTCAGGCAAACAGAGATGTACGTGTTTTATATGTTTTCATATGATTGATAAATCTAAGCTATTTTGACAATAGAATTAACATAATCGATCTTTTGCGCCCTCTAGGACAGAGCTGTAATCTTCAAACCATACATCATAGCAGTGTCTCCAGTGTCTCAGTGTGGATTATTGACTCTGATATTCCCACCTCATTGGCTAAGCTAATACCAACACTCATTGAGATATTGCAGATAGTTCTGACTGTGGTTACACCTCTGTTGATCTGCCCAGGTTTTAATATTCTGTTATGTTTTTTTGTCATTTTAGAGATAGAACGTGGAGGCTGCGGGGATCCAGGAGTCCCTGCGTTTGGTCGCCGCAGCGGGGATCGTTTCCAACATGGGGATGTGTTGACCTTCTTCTGCCAGTCTGCGTTTGAACTGGTGGGAGAACGGACCATAACGTGTCAGCCCAACAACCAGTGGTCGGGGAACAAACCCAGCTGTGTTTGTAAGTCTTTTATTTCTGAATCTTTCCAGCTTTTCCCTCTGATTAAATTGCTGATCAATTTAACGCCTCTGCTCCTCCTCCTCCTCCTCCTCCTCCTCACTTCCCTGCCTTTGTTCCTCCCTCCTTGTAGTTTCCTGTTTCTTCAACTTCACGGCTCCTTCGGGGACCATATTGTCTCCCAACTACCCAGAGGAGTATGGGAACAACCTGAACTGTGTGTGGTTAATTATCTCTGAGCCGGGAAGCCGCATCCATCTTCTCTTCTCCGACTTTGACCTGGAGCCACAGTTCGATTGGTTGGTGGTCAAAGATGAAGGTAAATATATATCTCAATATTTCACTACTACATATTTCGATACCGTAGCTACACAAAGCTCATTAGGGGACGGACCCGACCACAGGGTAATGGATACATTCACTGTTTATTTATTGGACACATATGGACCCGTGCAGAAGTAAAACTCCTGAAGGAAGAGTTCATTCAAACTTGAACATGAACAGATTATGAAAACATAAAAAAATGAGTTTGACAAAGTTTGAGATTAGTTTGACTGTTGTAAAATGTACAGCCCAGAAAACACAGAAAACAGTTTGTGATTGTATCAGACTTCCATCAACTGTCATTGTGTTTAATTGAGTGGCCATAAACCCGTCTCTCTCCACTCAATTTTTTTTTACTTTAGTTAGAGGGTTTTGCACAATTGCAGGGCAATTTACATTGTCAAGGTGGACAAACTAGGATTGAAGTTGCTGCCCTCGTCCCTCGATGATAAACCACAGCTGTCACAGAGCACTCTCAGGTGACCGTGTCTTTGACGGGTCCTATTGGAAATTATAAAGGTTTGGAATCATGGGAAAATTGTAGTGCTGTTAGAGTCTGGCAGATATCGAGATATCTGCTTCACACAATGGCTTAGGTCAATGGGGCTGAACGACAGATAGAAGCAGGAACTGTGGTCCATATGAAAAATATGACTGTGTGAATAAATGGTTAAAAAAAAAAACTCTTGAAAACATTTGGAGCCAACTCTACGATACGATGCCTCCAACATAAATTCTTTATCACAAAATGACACAGACCAGATTTATTTACCAGTAAAAACTGAAAAGCAGAGTCAAAGCGCTCCGTTGAAATAAAGTGTAAATATAAAACATGGATTTAAGAAGTAAACCATACCTTGAGGGAGTTATTTAACGAGATAGAAAGACTCGCTTGTTCATCATTGATCATAACAATCGATTGGCGCTGTCTGATATTTTGTCCCCGTAACACATTTAAGTGTGATTTGATGCATCAACAGTTTTCCCACTGACAGAGTCCATTTAATGACCCACATACTGATTTTCTCCCTGTAACAGCAATACATAGAAACGCTGTGTTGTCTCATTCTGTGGGAGGTCATTTCAACCACAAGGAAAGAAATTATAGGCAACTAAAAGATAAGCTGTTTGACTTCTGGGTCTCATTATTGAATACATCCAGGAAATACACTGTAACCAAAAAAAAGTGTCAAGAAATGTCACAGAAAAGTCGCCAGAATTCCAGAAATGAAGTGTAAAGACCAAAAGGATTTGGATGAGAATCAGGATGAAGCCAAGATAAAGGTCTTGGCACGGTCGCCGTCCCATTTTTCAGTGCAGACTTGGTCCCACAAACCTCTTTGGTGATTTAGAGTTTAACTTTAAACCACTGGACTTGTTTTGACACAAATTTGTTTTATGTGACGTGAAATCTGACCTTAAACTTTGGACCTTACTGGGGTCAAACATTTCTTCAATCACTCGACTTCTTTAGCTCACTGACTCGCCCTTTCTTCTTCTACAGTCACCAATACTTCACTACCGATTCACTCTGAAACCATGTCTAGTTTTAGGTGGAAGCAGAGCCGACATGTGGAAGAAGACACTGAGAAATAGTCAGTGCTGGTTGGCAACTCTAGAACTGGGATACCCTGTAGTCTGACCTGAAACCAAGGCTCAATTAGGATTTGACACAAAGTTTCTTTGTTACTCCCAAACTTGACGTAGATTTCAGTTTCTTGTATTTATTTGTTTGTTTACGATCATCGGCTAAGTTTCAAAAAAACTTGTCTTGAACTGCGTGTCTCTATTTGCACTTAACTTTTCTGTTGGCTTAAAAATCTCACCGTTATTTTATATCACATCTATTTATAGATAGTCTTATATGACCCTGTCAGTGTGACCATCCTGCACCTACACTGTATTAAAGTCTTGAAAACCAGCCAGTGGTACACACACACACAAACAAACAAACAAACAAACAAACAAACAGCTCTGAGTGGTAGATGATGATGTGGCCAGAGCTATATTTGATCCATCTGGGCTGGTGAAAAGAAACATGAAATCCATAAAATATAAAAGTGTCTCTTGAAATGTAAAAACTGGAATAAAATATTGAGTGGTTATCATTCAGTATGGTTTACCGAGCCCCCAAACCTCGGCTACGGAGGCACATGTAGGAAGGCTGTTATGAAAGGCTTTTCTTGGAATCCTCTCTCTTTGATGAGCGCTCACTTCACTCTCATTCAACTACAGGTGTCTCCTCCATCAAAAGAAATGAATAGAAGAAAGCAATGGATATGTGAGAGATGTTTTAGAGTTGCTGATGGACGGAGGCTGGCAATTTGGAATTCAATCCCAGCTGCATTTGAAGTGCACTGAATCCAAACCTTAAAATTCTACCATGAATAACATAAAAAAGAGAAAGAAATCCAGTTTTTTTTTATTATTACATTTGCAAGATTTCAGCTATTTTTAAACATAAAAAATATGTTCTTGACATTTTTCCATAGTAATAATTGCATCAGGAATATAGATTAAAAACACAGACCCTACCTTTATTTACCTTAATGTATGTACAATATAAACCAGTGTTTCCCAAACTTTTTTTCTAGGGACCCATATTTTAAAAGTCACAAACCTTCGTGACCCAATTCACAAATTCGAATATGTAAACTCCTGGGAAACATGATACGAGACGACCCAAAAAAACAAAAACAAACTCTTGTCGACCCACCTGAGGGTTGCGACCCAGGAAACAATGATATAAGCTATGTCATTTTTTTGTTATATTTTTACCTTTGATTTATCTAGATGAATCAAGATTAATCACAATTAATCAATCATGACTAATCATGATCAATCAGAATAGCTACCATGATTAATCGCTTCAAACCTTTCAATCATTTGCAGTGATTCAATCCAAGTTTATGGAGAAACTTTTTCCAGTTCACTTTTCATTCATTTGCAGCCCAAGTTTATGGAGAAACTTTTTCCAGTCTAGATGAATCAAGATTAATCACAATTAATCAATCATGACTAATCATGTCACTTTTCATTCATTTGCAGCCCAAGTTTATGGAGAAACTTTTTCCAGTGTGACGTCTGTCGAAGCTATATATTTTAGTTCCTATTCTTGAAAGTTTACCGACTTCTTTTCTAGATTTGTGTCAAATCGCCGGCGTCCCGGCTCCACCTGTCAATGCAAATCTGCAGCCACTTTGTGATGAATCACATTTTCCTGCCGCAACATCAGTTTGGTGGAGTCCTGGAGGGAAATCAACAGCACTGAGCTCAGCGTTAGCGCTGGCAGCAGGGAGAGGCTGTGCATGCCAATTGGGTTTATCAGCATTGCTTGACATTCATAATCACCAGTCACATCTTAACAAAATTGTAATCACATTCAATCGATACAATATAGTGGTATTTACCAAACCACGGGCTCCCACGTTTGCTCCGCAACCCCTTTTTTTGACATTGTTAGCCACTGCTGCCAACACTGCTGCTGGTGGTTAATCTGTTTATTTCTACCTGCTACAAAAATGCAACCCTGCTGCTTGTTTTCTCCATCAACCATCAACCAACTCCTGTTGTTTCAGAGTCTTGTTATTGCACACGGTATGGCATTTTTTTCCCTCCCTACTGCATAATGTATAATTCATACCTCACTGATATGTGCCTGCTGGGCTCTGTCCTGCGCAGCCCTTTAGGGGGTTTTATGGCTCTTCTTACTGAATGTGTCACTGTGGCTGGATCACTGGGGAGCGGCAGCATCAAGAGCCGAGTGGATTCTGCCAAACAAAAGTGTTTAGCCATTTGTTCCGTTAAATAGCCCTACGCTGTGACACAAATGTCTTGAACAGGAATGACATGAAGCACGGTTACAGCTGCACGGGCCAATTGTGACGCTCTAATGGTTTTTTCCCCACCATTCACCTGGTATACGATGTGTATCAAGGCAGTGCCATAGTGCTGGAATGTACCTTAACAAAGCAGCCAGCCTCGGCCTGGTCATTCATCGCAATCATGTACTCCCAAAGGCATGATGGGTACTTAAAGAGAATCAATGCTCGCTACAATGGTGACAAAACTATCCAGGAATGTGTGATTCAAGGCACATTCAGCTGGTTGTAATGTCACTGACCTGGCCTCTTCAGAGTGTGAGTCACCCTCGGTAAATCATCCACAATATTTATGACCATTTTCACAAGAGCTGGTACTACAGGTAGAGACTTTGAAACTACTTATGGCTGCAGTTTTTGTTTTTTTTTCAAACATCACCATTGTTGTCAACAGACAAACTAATTAACCTAATTATTTTTTCTAACGTAGTCTTGTTGAGATTGATGCTCAGTGTACGTCAGGATTGTCCAGGTTTGATTTTGTTTGGCCGTATTTCAGCATTGTACGGTTCTGGTCGTACTCCAGGCTAAAACTGAAGACACACATTTTAAATACCTTCTAACAAATCATTATGAAAACTAAAACCTGAGCTATAAAACAGACAAAAGTCTGAGGAAGATAAAGACAAAAAAGTTTAAAGCAGAAAAATTAAAAGGAAAAAGGAAATACAATAAAATGGATTTGAAGAGAATTAAAGGAGGCCCATGTGACTGAAGCTGATTTAAAAGAAATGAATAATAAAAACTGAACAGTCAGAAAAGTTAGCAAGGTTAGCTTAATGTATCTTACTGACTAATGCAACTCTTAATAACTTGAAAGTTGATCCAAAGTAACAATAGAAATAACACATTGTTTCTAGTTTTTAACACAGGTGTTGAGCTGCAGGTTGTACCTGTACACCTCCTCCTCCTCCTCCTCATCATCATCATCATCATCATCCTCCTCCTTTTCCCTCATACCCCCCACGATGGCTGTGTCATCTGCAAACGTCTACATGTGACACAGCTAACAGTTAAACCAGCAGTCAGAGGTGTAAAGGGTGAGGAGGAGAGGGGACAGCACCGTCCCCCGCTGCAGACCACAGTGTCAGAGGTGATGTTATTCACCCTGACGTACTGCGCTCTGACAGCGAGGTAACTAGACAGGAGTCCACTTGCATTTGTGTAGGTTTTTTCCCCAAGTGGTTGAAAAGTGGTTGAAACATCCAGGAAAAGGATTCTCACAGCGCCACCTCCCCTGTCCTGATGGAACTTCTTGGTGGTGGTAGTGGAGGAGGATCAGTGCTGACAGGGGGGCAGACTAGAGTGGGGGGGGGGGGGGGGAGTGGGGTTTGGTGCTGGGGTGGTAGGTCACTGAGGGAGAGAACTGTTCTGCCTGAGTTCTGCGTGTTCGGCAGAGAGTTCTATGCTAAGACGAGTGCAGCATCAGAGATACTTTTTTTAATCCTGAAATGTATCGACGCTCCAAGGATCGGACTCCGAGCCCGGACCACCACCGGGGACACTTCACACCCAAACAGCAGACTGTTTTGACTGCTGTTGTCAGGCAGATGTCTCTGCAGTCACACGTCTTAAAAAACTGAAAGACTGAAGAAAAGTTTCTTCCCCAACGGCCACCGTGACCCTGAACCATCACATGAACCAACTGCAGTACTTGGTGTACTGTACTCCATGTCATGTAAGGCTAGTGAATATCACAGGCAGATCTGAGGGCTTGTACTTTTGTGCATTGACGTTTTTTTTTTTGTTTTGTTTTGATTCCTGCACATCTTGCTGCCTGTTGATGTGAAAAACAAATGTCCTTGAGGGGCTGATAACCATGAATACCTTTTACAGACATTTTTATGATTACTCTTGTTTGCTTCTCCTAAATGGATTATCATTCCATTGCAACACAGGCTGTATTTAAAACGTAGCCAGGTGCATTCTGGAATGGATTATTCAATAAAGCCGGAAATGCATATTTTGTTGGACTGGTGTGCAACAGCGAACATCAAACAGCACGTTCTTAAAGGTCTGGAGTTATTATTGAACGAACACGAATTTAATCTGGCCAATCTTTTCCAGCTGTAATCACATTGGATACGTCTCCTGAAAAACTCCTGGGGCGTTGTTTCATCTTCCCTGGGAGTCCTTCACGTTTCAAAGACTCCTCTTAACTTTTTCACCAGGCGGCTGATATTAGTTGGGCATCGTCGAACTTTGTCCCTGAAACGTTTCTTTTTGATTGTGTTTGATTTTTTTTTTTAGGTCTGTCCGAACCGACCACATTTGGCACGTTCTCCGGAAAAGATGTCCCGTCGCAAATCGCTTCCAACGGACACATCATGAGACTGGAGTTCCAGTCGGATCACTCCAACACGGGGAAGGGCTTCAACATCAGCTACACAAGTTTGTACCTTTTTGTTTTTTTCCACCCAAAGTACGTCTGCCAAACCTCAACTATGCTATGATTTCTCCAGCTACACTATATATTTATCTGTAAAATTACAAATGTGCAGCGTGGTGTCGGTCTCCTGTCGGGGAAGGAAAGTGACATCACTGGTTACTGCATTTAGTGCCTGTCACTTGTTTGGCCTGGGCATCGTAAATTGGGAATGACATCTGGGCAGTGGAGCGAAACCATAATTCACTCTGGTAATTTGACTCCATCACTCGACCCTCATGCAAACCATCAGACCTCTAATTGTGTCGGATGGAACGGCCCTCCAGGTCCTCACACTACCAGACCGGCTGTAAGAACACAATGATTTCATGTGACTGACCAAACAATTGCAGTTATTTTACAAAGTTTTTTTGAAGTTTCGGTGTGGTTGTCATAGGATTTTTTTTTTTTTTTTTAGCGTGAGCAGCGACCCGCGGTGTATTTGATTTTTATCCCCTTAATGTTGTGTTGCTCGCTTGGAAGTCTGTGTACTTGTACCTACAGTTGTCTGCAGTGTGTGCTTTGTTTCCATCCATCCATCCATCCATTTTAGTGTTTGTTTCCATCCATCCATCCATTTTCATCCGCTTATCCGTTACCGGGTCACGAGGGCAGCAGTCATGACCGCAGATAAACACCAGGTGTTTGTTTTTTTTGTATTTAGACATGACATCACAGTCTGTTTCTTCAGAAAAACAAGCGTTCACCTGACAGTAAAGAAATCATTCCAAACACTGTATAAGAAATACAGGAATAATAAGCAGCCAATTTTTGAACTCCATTTTGACGAGCCAGGGCTTCTGGATTCGACCGGTCTGTAATTGTACAGACACAGGTGAGAAATATTTGCTGTCTCTGTCACTTGTTCAGTCCAACAGCAGCAGACGTTATTGTCCAAAAGGAGTGAGAGGGGCCTTATCTCTCCACTGACTCTCGGCCTCGCTCGTCCTGCGTAGAGGACGTGCTGTGCATCGCATTCAATCCAAATTCATAAATGTCCTTTGGTTGTGCGGCGTTCAGAGCTGAACATTACTGACTAATAGAATTACCATGCGAAGTGCTGATGTCGTTATCTGTCCTGCCGTCTCCTAATCATCTGTTTTCATGTCTTATTTATGCTTTACCTACAGCGGTTAAGTCCTTTTCCATTGTCAGCTCTAAAACCGACGCCTTTTTGCACTCGGTATATTTATCTGCTCCAAAGTGAACGGGTTCAGCATGACTGACTCTGATTAATTCAAACTGATTATCATGCGGTTTTGCACCATTTCACACGCTGCCTTCCAAATGACCTTGTCTCCGACTTGTTTGAAAGGTGAAATTCAACTGAAAACTCCACTTCATTCCATCTTCTCAACCGTCACTGCATATTAAATAATATATATATCTAATCCAGGCACATGTTGGTACCTTTAATTATTAATACTAGTATTATTATTAGAAGTATTGGTGTTAGTATTTCCCAGCCGTGCCTTTGAATTTTCCGTCCTTAATACTATTTTAATATTTAATAATACGTTTTTTTCCCATGCTGAAAAAGAGAAAATTTAAATAAACAGTTAAAAATGTTACCATCCATTCAAACATTTAGATTTTTTTTTTCAGAATGCAACAGGATTGGTTGATGACATTATTTCTTTATTGGGATTAAAAAAGCCATCAGACCATTTGTGCTGTTTCACCAGTTCCATCTATTAACATTTTAATGCATATATGAATACAAATGGCATTTGCTCTTGGTTCCTCTTTACGTGAATTATTTTGAAAACCAAAATCTTTGAATCTGTGACACTGATGAAGACGTCAGTGAAGGTAGATAATGATCAAAGACAGAATTCTTTTTCGATGAAGATTTGTTTGTTTCTTTTTCCCTTCAGTTTATTGTTTGTGTTTTTAACACCTCATGTGAAATATTGTCAGTTTCTTGCAAAGCTTCAGTAAAAATATATCAGACCTCTGATGAGTTTTGTCTTATGGCAAAACCCTCATCTTCACCAAAAGATGTCATTGGGAATATAGGTTAACTGCTCAGACAACAGGTCAGAATAATTGCTAGACAATAGCAAGACAATAACGATAATTAAAATATATGTACAATATATATATATAAATATATAGTATATGATTATATGTGTATGTGTATATATGTACACACATATTTATATTTTATACATGTATGTATATATCAAAATATATACACACATATATACAAATATATATACACATATATAGGTTTGTAAATAACTCTCATACATTTACCATAGAGAAAAGGTAGAAATCTCCACTTGATGTTGTTGTGTTGATCACCTCCATGACCATGATGTTCTTTGACATAAATTTGAAAGAAACTTTATCATACGATACCCTCGTGTACCATTAGACGTCCACGTACCCCTGCTTAGCCCTCGACTGTACAAACCCAGCCTTGACACTGTTGTTGTTGTGCATCCTAATGAACAGCCAGAGCACATGTTCTTGTTGACCTTGTTGACCTTGTTGACCTTGTAAGCGAATCTGCTGCTTTTTAAAAAACAAACCCACTGGTTTTTGAACATTATGGACAGAAGCACAAACCTGCGCCTTGTTTCAGCCCCCACTTCAGGATTGAGCTCCTTGAATCAGAAGAAAGTCATGCGAGACATTGTGTCTTTACTTCTACTGCTCCCTGTGCCAGCACCCTTGCCACCCCTCTCCCCCTCCATCCCCCCCTTGTTTTTCTTTTTCTTATTCCCAAATCTGCCGTGTTGATCTCTGGCTTTCGCTCTTTCTCCGTCTTCCTTGTGTTGTTCTGCTTTTTCATCCACACTCAAACCCAGTTTTACACTTTTTGTCCTGTAACACACTTGAGGATTTAATCTGTTTCAGACAGACTCTGCTTTCTTCTGTGTCACCTTGCAGTTATGAGTTTGTATACGTATGGAATATATCCTACTTCTCCTTTATCCCGCCATATATTTCCAGACATTTCTGTGGTAGTTTTAGGTTTAGGTGCTGGTTCATATTCCACATGCGTTCTTTTTTATTCACTCAGTGATCATTTCATATATGGAAACATCTAACCTCTCGAGCTTTTCTTTTTTTCTTTCTCTCTGTGTTCAACACTCGTTCCTTCCCCGGTTTTCCCTCCATTAGTAGCTAAGGGACCCAAGACACATCCAATCAGTGGGCTGGTGCCTTTGTTGGGATCAGGTTAATCTCTGGAATAGGGATTATAACAACTGAATATGATAGCGTCAAACCCGGAGGAAGATTATTCCTTTCCCTCATTTTGAAATCAGTGAAGATGTCATGTACGCTGACAGTGGTTCAACACTTTTTTTTAAGCTGGCAAACTGTTTCCAGGATTTAAAATTGATTGAAGAATCAGGGGATATTATTTGAATAGTAAATATGTATGTGTTCTGAGCAAATCCATTCATTGAAAAATCTTCTGTGCGCAACGAAATGACACTGAGGAAATAGAAGAGGGTTTTAATGTTATGGGATACGTTTCAATATGTTTCTATACCAGGGGAAGAAACTTTTTTTTGTATTTTGTTGTGTTTGGAAACATATTTTTTCTATATTTGCCTTATTTGCCTATAATACTTTCCTTCCAGCGTTCGGTCAGAATGAATGTCACGACCCCGGAGTTCCTGTCAATGGTCAAAGGTACGGTGACCAGTTCCAGCTGGGCAGCTCTGTGGCCTTTCGCTGTGATCAAGGATTCATTAGGACACAGGTAAAACATTCAAAACATTTATGCGTAAAAACACATTGGATCTTTTTGAATTTTGAAATCTTTATATCAACGTTTTTTCATGTTTTCAGGGATCGGATCAGGTGACGTGTATCATCCAGGATGGCAATGTGGTCTGGTCTGCAGCAGTTCCACGCTGTGAAGGTGACTACAACATTATAGTCAATTAATCAATAAAATATCTCCTATATATATGTATGTATATATATATATATATATATATATGTATGTATACTGTGTATTTATGTGTATATATATTTTTTAATATATATATATTTATATATTCATTCACATATATTTATTGATTTATTTGACTTCCGAAACGTCTTTCTTGCCAAAGTCATAGGTTACAGACCTGTCACTGTTTTCTTCTTGCGGTGCAGCTTAAGTTTGCTTACGCACCTTACAAACTGTATAAACTTCCTGGTGTAATTGCTTTAGCCTCCAGCCTTCTGACACTTACTTGGTCTATTTGTATGCAGCTCCGTCGTCTGAACAATAATCCTAAATTATAATGGCCGCACTGAGAAGTTCTCCTCAAACTATTTTCTATTTTTCTTTCAGTGAAACACATTCATTATGCCGAGATGTATCTGTTCCATGTAGATAAGCGGGGCAGTAATGGAAGAACAAGGGGGAATATCAATACACCATTATTTTAGCGGTTTTTGAAGGCGAAAGTCAAACATTTGACTCCAGTTGGCGTGCGTTTCTCTGACGTCTCGTGGTGCGATTAGAGTCGAAATCATTTTTATCAAACGTTGCCTCGTGTTAATGAATTGGATAGAAACGATCCAACAAAATGGCCTAGCCTTATTAAATACAGTCTACAGGACAGGGAGCGGAGAGAGTTGTTAAAAGGTTTATTTAAACTTTAAGGGCAAAGGTATTTGAGATCTGAAGACGTAAGAAAGGACAAATTACAATTAGAAGAAGATAGAAATCATAAATGCCACATCTAATTGCTGTCCCGCAGATTAATTTCCTCTAATTTCTTGACAGATTTTAAAGGAACTTCAAAAGTCGAAGCTCATATCGTGTCCTTTTCTATGTTATTGCTGCGAAATCAAAACTCAACTAACGAGGTACTTTTTGCATTTAATGAGCCATAATTGAGATTTTGCGACTTCCAAAGTGAGCCGTTAATTAGCGTTGAGATGTGGCAGAGCCGCAGCCAGTGTGACGTCTGCTGAGGTGCAGTCAAATGAGCCAAAGAGAAGATACGGTTTGGTGACATTTAAGACAATTATACTTGATTTTGCTATAATTACTCAGCTTGGGTTCCAGCTTAGAACCACAGCTATATGTTTATGCATATAGTGTTTTAATTCAGGAAACGTGAGGACGTTTTAAAGGAAACAAAGTAGACAGCTGATGAACTTGCTAAATTGATGTAATATGAGCAAGTACACACACACACACACACACACAAATACTTTTCCTCAGTTGTGTTCCCACATGCTGATCTAACTTTAGCTTTCCTTAAACAAGTCACATTTAACATTGAACTCATGTTTGATTTTTGTTTGTTTGTTTGTTAATAATGAAAACAATAATTCAGTTTTTTGTCGTTAAACTAACTCATAACGCCAGAGAGACTTATTGGTTTCATAACCAGGTCAGGATGAGGTGAGAGGTGACAACAATTGGCAATCAGAGAGAGAGAGCGATAGAGAAAGAGAGAGAGAGTTAGAGAGAGAGCTGTGTCCAAAATGTAGAGCTGAAATCAAACAGCCCACAGCAATGATTCTGTTTTTCTTGCAGACAGAGATTAGATTAGATTACATTGGATTAGATTTGATTCGATTGATGATATGAGATTGGATTAGATGAACAAAGCAAAATTAGATGTGACAGGATTAGGTTAGATTAGATTAGATTAGATTACATTAGATGATAATATGAGATGGGATTGGATGAGACAAAGCAAGATTAAATGTAATTCGAATTAGATTAGATTAAATTAGATTATTTAATGTATATTTTCAATTGCAAAAATGTTGAAGAGTTGTAGATCAAAATAATAGTTACAGATTCAAATGCCTATGAAAAACGAATGTCTTTGGGATGGTGATAGTGATGACAGGATTTTGTCCATTATATCTATATATATATATATGTATATATATAAATTACAGCTAAATGTGTAATATGGAGTGGGTATCCAATGAAATATGTTGAAGTTTTTCCTGACTTGATGTTGGTGCTTTATACATTATAGAATCAGAAAAACCAATTAGACTCTCAGCACATCCATCAAAGCCACCACTCACATTAGAACTGATCCTCGGACTTCTGTTTGTTGTTTGTCTGTTATTGCCTGCAGCTCCGTGTGGCGGCCACCTCACAGCGTCCACCGGCGTGCTGCTCTCTCCTGGTTGGCCGTCCTTCTATAAAGACTCTCTCTCCTGCCAGTGGGTGATTGAAGCCAGAGCAGATCACGCTGTGAAGATTAATTTTGACAGGTTGGTTTTTGTTTTTTTTTTGGTTCTTCATAGCAATATACCCGTTACCTTTTCCGCCTTCCCTTCAGCCAATAGATTACGTAGCCAGCCTTTTATAAGCATTATAAATTAGTCAGATTTAAATGTAGTTTGTGAGTTTCCACTGAGGTTAATTATTTATGCCGGCTTCAAGCTCATTATCCCGATACTGCTGTGGCTGTATGTCTTCTTTGGATGAGATGTAGGGCGATGTATAATTTCACACTCGTGTGGTGCAAAAGCAGAAGTCAGCGTCAAATGAGCTCTTTAATTCAAATGGATCGTTTTTCATGGTGGAGTAAGTTGTTTTTCTGTAGGTAACTGCGTTAGTCAACGAGCCTGAGTGAGTCAGGGAGGGAGGAAAATTATTATGGGTAGCCAATGGTGGTGCAACGTTATGTTTAGCCACAGGTTCTGTACATCGGTTGTTGGTGTGTGTTGGTGTCAACATAAGCCAGAGGAGATTTACTGGTCTTGTTTTCCTCTGGTACCAATCACACCTACAGTGGTTGACACTGTTTGAAGTCAGTTTTCATGTTTGATGTTTTATCAGTCCATTTACGACTAAATGATGGGATATGTGGCGCTTGGGACAGTCCATTTTCGACTAAATGATGGGATATGTGGCGCTTTGGCCCAGAGGCAATGTCTCTGTCATTAGTGTGGAACCGCAGGGTTCACCTCCTGGGCAAGATCGAATCGCGGTTCGGGCGGTTGGCACCTTGCAGTGGACTCACCACCCGCAGGAAGGTTCACCAGAGGCTGGTACGGTGCAGTGTGATTTGGGTGGCGGTCGTGGAGACTGCTGCCCCCACGACCCCGGTAACTGCGAAGGGAACGAAGATGGATGGATGGATGGATGATGGGATGTTTTCGTTGCCCTTCTCAGTTGTCCTTTCTCCTATCGAGTTCACAAGAAAACTGTGGCGTTCCCAAACCTTCAGACATCCCCGCCATTCATTCAGTTTTACGACGCACATCTATGCTAATCGCTAACTTAAGTAGTTAAGTTGCTGGAAGGAGTTGAAGGACTCATGGGTGCAGCGGTTGACTCCCGTCACTACATCACCTCGACACATTAAAAAAAATTATTAGGTTTCATATGTGTACAGAGAAGTTGGCTCAATTTGGCTAGTATGAAGTTGCTGGTGCGATTCTGAGGACATATGACAATGATCTGTTTGCTGTGTTCAAAACCTCCCTCTCTCTCTTACTTTCTACTCCCACCATCTGCTTGGAATCTAAATAATAAATGTCCCCAAAAATGAAGTATTACATAAGTATTAGGAAGATAGGAATCCTGGAACTTTTTATTTAAAGGTTGCTCAGAATTAGAATGAAGCACTGCTTCAGAGTTGATAAACTCTCACTGACCCTAAAATGATTTAAAAGGTTTTTAATCTGAGTAAAAACAAACTCTACGAAGTGTCTGTAGCTGAGATGTTCACCTCCACAGCTTCAGTCGTGACTGTGTCAGTTACATGAATTTACTTTTTTTTTTTCCATCTCGTGGTTGTGTCTGGGTTTGTCCAGGTTTCAGACAGAGGTTAACTACGATACCCTGGAAATCAGAGACGGACCCTCAGCCTCGTCTCCACTGATCGGCGAATACCACGGCACCCAAGCACCTCATTTCCTGATTTCCACATCCAACTTCCTGTTCTTGTTGTTCACCACAGACAACAGCCGCTCCGCGGCGGGCTTCAGTATCAGATATGAGAGTAAGGCTGATAGAAGTGTTTGGTCGACCCACTAAAATACACACTTGTGCACGAGAAGCGTGAATGTTTGTTATGTGATCTGAATACACACCTTAACATCTTTATTGCTGGAATCAGGCCTGTCTGCGTCTTTGTGCTGTATTTGATTGGCAGGTGTGACCATGGAGTCAGACTCCTGTCTTGATCCTGGTATTCCAGTCAATGGCCGTCGCCTCGGCGGAAGCTTTTCCATTGGTTCCCAGGTCTCATTTGCATGCGATGCTGGATACACGCTGAGTGATCAGGAGCCAATCATCTGTGAGCGGACTCATCAGTGGAGTCACGCTCTGCCTAGTTGTGATGGTAAGAATGTTTTTATTATTATTTCAGCGCAATGAGCCCGAGGCTTGAACTCAACAGTTGATCATCTTTGTGAGATTCTAATGTCCGTTCAAAAGTTTAACAAAGTTATTGATAAACGTCCCAGTGTCACAAAACAAATATTTTAATACTGTTGTAGCTGATGATTGTGAATTTTTTAAAGGTTTTTCTTTTTACATCAGTTGTGGTTTCTATTGAAAAACTAAAGAAAAACTAAAGCACATACAGGTCAAAAAGTTCTAGGACAATTGAAAACACATTCAATTTAACCTAATATTTTTCTAAATGTCTTCCATTTAAATGCACTTTCCTTTTTATACCAGTCACATGTTAAATAATAATAATTGTTTGCGCTGATGCTCATATTGTTGTTGTTGTTCATCAGTTTTTTTATTTTTTGACAACTCTGGTCAAATGAAAGGAATTGAAGGGTTGGTATATTTTCCTCTAAATAGGACTAAAGCAACATTTGAAGAAAAAAAGAATCCAATAATCTAATTTCCTCAGTTTATCTTCTGCATCAACAGCCAGCCTCTCAACAGGTAGTTATATTAATATAAATGTATGGTCCATAGCTTTATACAATACCCTTATACTATAAATGTCAATAGAAAATGCATTACTTTATCACCTTCCAGTGCTTTTGACCAACTTGCCTTTAAAAGACAGGGATGTTTTTTCATGGCCGCCGACTGTACGTATGCCTTGTTAACTTTTCAAGAACATCCTGTTCCGTCACCACACACACACACGGCATTATACCACCGCCATCAAAAGTTATTATTTCAGCAATATGCATTATACCACCACCATCAAAAGTTATTATTTCAACAATATTGAACCTAAAAGAAAAGCCTGGATACCTGTTGTCCTGCGGCGGGCATGCAGAGCCCATTCACTCTCAGTAATGGTGCATTTTGTTGGAGCCAAACAACCCATATTGTTCCTGCCGGTCAGCTAAATTGCTAAACAGATAACACAGAATGCTTGCTGCTCATTTTTCTGTCAGTTGAAGACAATTGAAGGGGCGCCGTGACATTTTGAAGTTTGCGGTGGGCGCCAAGACAACAGCTTCTTCGAAGTGACCTGAAACACTGTCACAGTGATTGTATGAATTCCCTGACATATTTACCAGGGACATCATTAAATCCAGTGTAGAGCAGGGAGGCTGCAGAGGACTTCTGGTGAACTTCTGTCTCCAACACTTACTCTCTATCTGTTTTGCTTTCAGTCCACAGACCCATTCTTTCTGCTGTCAACAAAGAGCGCCGCCCAACTTTGATTTGCGTTACACTTTAAGACCGTGATCACTCTTTTCTCCTGCTTTTTTTTTGTGATCACTCTTTTCTCCCTAAAATGTTAAATAACCTAGACTTTTTTTTACTCTTTTCAAAGGAGCCCAGACTTTTTTTTACTCTTTTCAAAGGAGCCTGTTTCTATGGCTGTATAAAAATGTAATTTTACCAACAGCAGCATATTTTTAGGGCATCTGTGAGTTACTAAACACAACCAGGCCCACTCAGACCTCACTGTGCTGGTGCAGTGTTTTGGGGTACAACTGTATTATTTCACTCGAACATACGCTATATCGACATTGAGAGACAGCAACAATCACATGTCGCCGGAAATTTGTGCTCTCTAAATGAAGTCAAAAGCCTGAAAACGGCGGAGAAACACAGTATTAGCCATATTTGGATGCAGTCAGATATTGTCGTCATGGAGAAACACAGCATAAATTTGGATGCAGTCAGATATTGTCGTCAACCCAACAACACCCAACATGCTTGATAATGGTAATCCTCCTCTGTAAGTCTCTTTGGATAAAAGTGTTTGCTAAATGCATAAATGTAAATGTAATGTAAATGTATTGCTAACCGCCATTTAAAAAGAGAGTGTCAGACACAGGAAATGAGGTCAGGCAGTGGCTGGAATAACGAAAAATGATTACCAACGGAGGGAGTGGGACAAAGTAATCCTGGACCACAAAAAGCTCCAGTAGGCACCGGTATAAATGTGGAGTACTTTTGACCGTGAGTTGAAAACTTTTGTATCTGCCTGTCCTCAGCTTGACAGCAGCGTCTGTCTTCCTGTGAGTCCATGTCATATTCTCAGCGAGACATGTTCCAGTCAATCATCCCCTGCCGCCCAAAGTGATCCAACTTTTTTTAAAAAACAGTTTTCAGAAGCTACACATGCCAGCTTTATTATCATCAAAAAAATTAAAATTAAAATTAAAACTCACTACAGAAGCCTTTTAGAAGATATGGTGAAAACAGGGCTGTGTGATTCTGTCAGTGGCTCAGGATGTGCTTTCCACACTCCAAAGAGAAACACTTTTCAGTGCCAGTCATGAACAAAACAGTCACTTTATTTTAGCCTGACTGACGTAAAAAGTACTAAAGAAGATGAAAGTGACAGAAGGAGAAAAAAGGGAATTGGGAAAAGCAGAGATTGACGACCTTTTTGTGGTCGTTTCCACGGCGCTGCACCTCCTCTCTTGTATTTTTTCATTTTGCTTTGTTCCACATTAGTATTTTATGCATTGTCTCCGGGGAGTCTCCAACACCCAGCCTGGGTCCTCAGGTCCAAGCTGGTCCTGGATCCTGGACTTAAGTTTTCAATACATTATAATGTCAGAAAAACAATAAAGACGTCGTCCCTGAGTTGTTTTGAATTAAATCAACTCTGGTCTGACCTTTTCCCCGTGTTTATTGTTCTGTTCTGGACAAACAAGAAATTAAAAAATCAGATACAATCTTGAACACGGTGGAAACTGCATTTGTTTTTTGAAGGAAATTGTCATTTGATGATTGAATTACCACAAAAAGTTAAAAGAAAAATTAAAACTGTCATGCATTGAAGATTAAAGCTTTGTTATTAGCTCGACAACTTCTGTAAACGGTTCACTGAGTTTCTATGGCTGATAGAAAAATGGAGGAAATGCTGCGTTAGGTTAAAAAAAAAAGAAAAACACTTTTTACATTTTCACCCTAAAGATATTGTGACATGTCACCTGAGGAAAAGCTCAGGTGTCAACTCTGGAGTTAATGTGGTTCCTGAATGTGCCACAGCCATGATTAATGTTATCAGGAACACCTGGGCCTGGTCCACTCTGGTGAGTCAGGATGTCTGCTGTGAAAACCCAGGACTTGATGGTTTAACATTAATGTGATTTGTTTTTTTCCATCCTCTGTTTTTTTTTCTAGCCCTGTGCGGAGGCTACGTCTTTGGAAAAACTGGGACCATTTTGTCGCCTGGCTTTCCTGATTTTTACCCCAATTCTCTGAACTGCACCTGGACTATAGAGGTGCCTCATGGTAAAGGTAAGGTCACGTGAGAAGACGAGCTCTGTGTCATAATCCTCAAATTCACTTGGCAAAAAAGATGTCTCGTCCTAATACAAGTCTCTGGACACTGTCCAGGTGTCCATCTGGTTTTCCACACGTTCCACCTGGAGGAGAACCACGACTACTTGTCTATTACAGAGGACGGAAACTTTCAAGTGCCGGTGGCTCGACTCACTGGCAATGTTCTGCCCCCTAGTGTCAAAGCAGGACTTTTTGGGAACTTCAGTGCTCAGCTACGATTTATCTCGGACTTCTCCATGAGTTATGAAGGCTTCAACATCACCTTCTCAGGTGAGAACCGGTTTGAAACCCAGGAAAGAAAATTAAGGCTGCGTGTTCTACCTGCTGTGTTGTCACACATACATATATTTAGCCTTATATTTTTAATTCGATAACGCAGCATACTTCGCCTCCTACCCACTCTGTTCCTGTTCCTGTTGCTGTGACTCCTCGGTGATGTTATTTCGCGCTCCTCTATGTGCAGAGTACGACTTGGAACCGTGTGAGGATCCAGGTGTGCCAGCCTTTAGCAGGAGGACGGGGTTCAGATTTCGAGTCGGAGACTCGCTGGCCTTCTCCTGTTTCCATGGCTACCGACTTGAGGGAGACAGTAAGATCACATGTCTGGGAGGAGGTCGACGAGTGTGGAGCAACACATTGCCCCGCTGTATAGGTAAGACTCTGGTATTTTTGTGTGTGTGAGTTTGAACCTCATTTCACTTATTTTGTTAACGGCTACAAATGAAGCTGTAACTGTTTATTGGTTAATATAACGCTAGTTAGAGTTTGTGCTAAGTTTTTCAAGCATTTGTTTTTTTGTTTATTTTACTTAGCTTCTAACAATTTCTGGTAAACTTTTTATTGTGTTTTGGGCGAGTTTAGGAAACATCTTGGTTGTTTCGACGTCACTGTGATGCATTTGTGTTCAACCTTCAACTTTTCTGTCTGGGCTTTTGGAAGCATCTGTATTTGTTGTATTTCATTTTGGCTAACTTTCAGCTGTTTTCTGAGAAAGTTTGATTGTATTTTTGGTTTGTTTTTAGACTTTATTCAGCTAATTCAATATATTATTATTGATCTAGCTAAAATAAGCTCATCAATATTAGCTCATTTTTTAGTTCTTTTGCCCTTTTCTTCATTTCATAGTTACAATGTTTTCTGTCAGAACCAGATACAGATACATTGGTAATTTTCTAATTATTTTCCTAATTATTGACTCAGTGTTTGTTTGTTTGCCAGGATTTGTCTTTAATTAGATTTGTAACTGAAAAGATTCACTGGTTTCCTGGATGCTGTGGTGAATGTGTGAGGCTGTGATTGGCTGATCATTTACAATCTCCAAACACCACCAGCAACATGACTGTATCTGTCATGACATTAGACCTGACCAACAGGAAACAGAAACAACAGCTGGTGTCCTCCACCTTGTTCATCCCGTGTCCTCCTCATTCTTCTGAAACTCTCTTTATTCAGTTTGACAAAAGCAGGTGTGACCCAACGTTGAACCTGACAACACACAAACTTTTTGACTGTCCTGCGAATAATGAATTCTGAGTTCGCTTAACATTTAGAAAATCTTTGGTTTGTGAAAACACTAAAAATGATTTTTATCCCTTTGCCTAATGAATAAAATAAAAAAGAAGATCAAAGAGGAGATTCAAGACATATTGTATATTTGGTATCTGTATGAAATATATTCCAGGCCGTGTGCTTGTTAAAGTGATAAGAAACGGAAGTGTTGACATGGTCTGTTGTTGGTCTGTTTCACACTCTTGTGTGTGTGTGTGTGTGTGTGTGTGTTATCTTCATATTCTTCTTTTATCGCTTTTTTCTTTCACACAATTAATGTTTTCCACTTGTTAAACAGAGAGATCTGAGGAAATAAAAGTTTCCGTCTTCCAACTCTTATCTGATATAAAAGAGCCAGATTTGTTCAGAGTGGCTGAAGGAATCTCATCCCTTTGTTGCCTTGAGTTCCTCATTGTTTCCCCACTGTCTCCCCCTCTCCTGTCTCTCTCATTATTTCCATTTCCAGCAGCGGTGGTCCTCCTCAGTGGGAGTTAAAAGCCTGCTTGTCTCGTTTCCTTTCTCTCATTTACATAAGACAAAACTCTTATTTGCATAAAGAGCCACTTATTTGAACTCCTAAACTTTGATAAACACTTTGTCTGTTAGGTAACGCTGTATAATTACAGGGGGAAAAAAATCTTTAAAGAAAAAAACATGTATAACCAGACCAACATTTGTAGAAGGTGTTTTTCTGAAGCTGCTCTTCTGTCCATCAAACCTGAGACTGTTTTAATGAGGTTGAATTCAGAACTCAAATATCGTTCATCAATATTGTTCTTTAATTACATCAGCAGAATTTGATGAGAAAAGTGGTAATAAAACATTAAAACGTACAGTAAACTCTTATATGATTCTGTTTTAATGCCTTTTTTACACATTTATATATATATATTTTAAGTTAGTGTTATGTGAGTAAGGTACATAAGTATTTAGTCACAACAACTTTCTGTTTTTCCAACTTTTTTATAGTGTGTATTTTATAGTCGTTGCTGGTGCAGCGAACCCTAGTGTTTTATATTGACAGTAAAACTGTTTATATTTCACTGTATACTCCATTGGTTCCCCACATTTTTTGACCTGTGACCCCATTTGAACATCACCAATGTCTGGTGACCACAGAGACAGATATATGTCAGATATATTTATGTGCTACATTTTATTTGAACATGATTTATGATTCATGAAAGTGAAAGACAGTGAAAGAAAAATGTGAAAATAATGACTGTTTGAAATATATTTTATCAGTATTTTATTTTATTTTATCAATTACATGTCAGGCGACCCCATGTGGGGTCATGACCCCGCCTTTTAAAAACACTGGTGTGTTGTATTCTTTGAGAAAGTGCTGTAAACTGTTGACTCATGTTTCCCCCTCTTGTTCCGGCCTTTTCCTCTCTTGATGTAGCCGAGTGCGGAGCCTCCACGGTTGGACCAGAAGGGATTCTCCTGTCGCCCAACTTTCCCTCCAACTACGACAACAACCACGAGTGCATTTACAGCATCACCACTGAAAAGGGCAAAGGGATCGGGCTGAAACCAGAGAGCTTCCTGCTGCAAGATGGAGACTACCTGAAGGTGGGTGTGAACGCAGGAAACAAAGAGTCCCGGCCCCTGTGCACAAGGTTTAGGGTTTAATTCCTCTACTTACTAATCCTTAGATTGTGTCAGAAATGGTATCCGGTATTTATTAAACCAGCCCTTGGTCTGGTCTCCACCATTATATTTTCCATTTTAATTTCAGTGTTCCATGAACGGACCCTCGGTCCTGGCAGTCAACTCACATCAGCAGCTCCTTTTCACTCTCTTTCTTTCCATATCAAAAGCTTTGCTGAGCCACTGGGACTCAGCCACGAGCAAACACTTAAAAAGCTTGGCAAAGTTTGTCCTGTGAGAAATGCTGCTGCCTCACCAAGTTAGCTGGAAAATGACCGTCATAACCATCAGCCCTGAGCAACAGTCTGTGCCAAAGGAAACTTAAAGCATCTTCAGCATTAAACCACATTACAACTCTACGTTTGGATTTACCTTCAGTTTCTTTCTTTCTTAATTTTATTTTTCCAAACGGACCCAGGTCCCATTTTATACAAACCTTTGGACAACAGTCCAGTGAAGATGATCGTGTGTTGACTAAACAGTGGGTCGAGTTTATTTTTGCAAACGGACGCAGGTCCCGTTTTATATAAACCTTTGGACAACTGTCCAGTAAAGATGGTCGTGTGTTGACTAAACAGTGGGTCGAGGAACCGTCCTGGGGCCGACGTAGATACTCGGTGAATTGTTTAGCCAAGGACATCCTCAGATGGTAAATGCGTTAAATGTGCTAGGAGAGCATTACCGTTCCTGTAGGGGCGGTCTATGCTGACTGGCTGTGCTGCTGCTGCTGCTGTGTCACAATCACACAGAGCCTTCGTCTGTAAATCCAGAGTTGCTGGTTTGAGTCCAGCCAGGGACAACAGTCCAGGTTTAAGACAGTAGAGGTTCACAGTCCTCCTGCCTTACACGCAGAAGGTCCTGGGTTCGAGCTCCAGATGAACCATATACATAATGGTGCCTCTTGTGGCAGACTGTGTGAATTGCAAAGACTCAAACTGTGGGACAAATAAGGGACTCAAAAAAAAGAAGCATTACTGAACTATTTGAAGTCCTTCAGCTCTTCATCATACTGTCCTTGAACGAGCACAAATTCAATCAGACACATTTTTGAAACAAAGACAACCTTTTAGTTGACATTGAATATAACCTCAATTCACTTGACAAGTGCTTTTCACTTTTAGGCCGCTAACTAATTAATGAAAAGATTTTTTTTTTGCAGTACCTGTATTTCCCAAAAACCTATGTGAGTGGTTTTATCCTAACAAACAAAAAGTCCCTCAATGAGATTTTTTATTTCGATACCTATCAACGGAAAGTTCTGTTGATGAATCAAACTTGATAAACTTTTGTGTTAAATGGGTTAAACCTGTGTGTTTTCACAGGGTTTTACTGATATTAAGTCCAGAACAGGATGAGCCGCCTTGTGTTTAATTTTCCTTCAATGGTTTAAAATACACACAAAACAAACAAAAACCTTAGTGTGGTTGTAAAAGCCTTCTCACTGAGGGAGTTTGACTTTAAAAAAAATAAAATAAAAGGGCTTATGTAAGAAAGGTAAAATTGCGGCACTTCTTTTGTCTTCTCCAAAGATTTGTCTCAGCGTTTAGACAAACAATGAGCAGAAGCATAATTACTGCAGAGATTACTGTGTAATCTCCAGCAATAATGTAGCACTAAGACAATACCTACCCACAATTCTGTGTATAAGTTTATACTGTAAGGTACCTGACGGCTGAATTCCAGGACTACTTTTTTTTAAAACAGTCTAATCTGTATGTAGTCAGGAGGATTATTGTTTATATTTGTTGAAGACTTTAATAGACAAAATAATTCATGCTGGATTTTCAAACTGAATGTTGCTTCTCTAATGTAGGTACCAAACGCAGGTTAACGTCGGTTCTAGCTGGTTTGGCCAGAGAAGAACTTGATCTACAGTACTGTCCATTAAGAACATAGGGATGTATTTCTCATAACTTTTAGTCCAAACTCCATATTTATATTTTATATATATTTTACCTGCATAATAATTGATGACCAAATAATCTTTTTGTTGTTTTCTTAGAGAGTTTTATTTTACGGTTTTTATAAACTGAATTTTCTTTTCTTTGAACCACATTAAGATGCTGTTGAGCACAAATTATATGAATCAAATAACCAAAAGAGAAAACTATCTGTTTTTGAAGGTTAATTGAAACTGTTGGCCCAGAGCAGTAAAAAAAGCAGATGTCATTGATCTGGCTGTTTAAAAAAAAATGGACAGATCATATTTTTATTTTTAAACCAGTCAAACTTTACAACAAATTGTTACGAGTGCAGTATAACATGAACCACGTCTCCAGGAAACAATATTGCGTAGCTGTCAACACTCAGACGTGTATCAGCTCTTCTCTGTACTATAACGTCTACATATACATTTAGCTTTTTTGCACATATTTTTAAGAATCATTAAGCTGTTAATGTTGCATTGCACCTGTAATGATATTCTAAACATGTTTTCAATCTCAGAAAGTTCTGTTTTAACGTCTTACTCTATCAGGTTTTTGGTACCATCAACCTAAGAGACCCTTTAACGTTTCTGAAGAATTGTTGGTTAGCTGAGTAAACACACTAATGAAGTGAAAGTAAAGCCCCAAGGTAGCAGTTTGGGTTCCTGATTAGCATTCATGTTCTCCTGGCTTAGAATAATGGAACTAATGCCTTTTGCCACCTGCGACATGCAGCACGAGCTGATTTTGCTCGGGGCACAGGGTTCCTTCGTGCCTTGAAGCTCAATATATCTTCAAACAACATCTAATTCCACACTTTACTAATTTTACTCACTGATACATTAGCCCTGGAGAGGAGGGCGAGGATAAGAGACAACCGAGGTGGGTGGTGTAGAGGAACTGTTATGAAAATAGAGGCGGTGGAAAAGCAAGCCACTGAGAGGGAGTGGGATCCAGTGAGGAGGGGTGGCAGATGGTGACATGTTGATTTATGAGCTGCAGGGCTTTTTCATTAACCATACTGAGTTTTGCTGAAACAGTTAGAGGAGGAAAGACAGTCAGAATTGAAACAAGAGAGACGGACGGTGAGACGAGATGTGGACGGCAAGATGAGAGTTGGCCGAACAGGAGGTGTTGAAAAATAAAGTCTGGTGTGGTGTAAAAGTAGATGAAGATGGATACGGTACATGATGGTTTTATACAAGTCTTGTTGTTTCTAATTACCTTTATCGGTACAAAGGTGATGGTTTTATACATATAAGTCTTGTTGTTTCTAATTACCTTTATAGCATCTTTGCTAATTTCACACAGACAGTGTGAGCGTTAGCCCTCTATCGTTAGCATTTCTGCCACCTGCAGACCTGTCACATCCAGTTTCTGCCCGCAGAAGTCAGCAAGAGTCACGTTACTGTTCCGTCTGTGAGATGGTCTCAGGTTTTTTTTAGGCACATGTCACATGTCAGTAGCAAACAAGTAAAAAAGGTTTTAAATATATATCTGCACTGACAAATGCTAGGTGGCTATAGTGGAAGAGGAGGGCTTTTCACTCAGTCACTTCAGGACAGGACCTGTGGTTAAACAACAGTTCTCTGATGACAGTCCTTAGAAGTTTGGGTAAAAATGAGACTTAATTAGAACCTGTGGTTAAACAACAGTTCTCTGGTGACAGTCCTTAGAAGTTTGGGTAAAAATAATCCTGGTTGTTGAAACTGCTGTTGTCAGTGAAAACATGTATCTGTTTATCTAAACCTTGACGCTAAAACTTAAACCCTAACCCTAACCTAGACCCTTGTCCTAGTAGATAATATTTTGAACATGAAGGTTGGGTTGAACAATGTTGATTGGGTGAATTAAAACAACCCAATAATTGTACCACGTATATAACACTGTATGAGGCTGAGCCTTATCTCTTATACATTATTTTACAAGCCAGCCTTTTTGTGTTTGTTTGTTTTTTAGCTTATCTTTGTTTCTATTATCCATGTGTATGATTCAAGGCTTAATTCAAATCTGTGTTGCCAGTTCACAAACATCCCTCTGGCAGCCATTACTCTACTCACTGTATGGGCCCATCTCACTTCCCACGTTTCCCATAAATTGCCTCCAGCTGTTGTGTGTCTTGATTGTGCCGCCATGAACAGGTTGATGATCGTAATGAGAAGCAAAATTGTTTGTTGATTGAATGAGATCGAGTTAGGAGAATTTGAGCGCTTACATTATCCTCAATTTTTCCATTCTCTTCAATGAACACAACACACATATTTCTGGTGTGATTGTTTTTTTCTTTACACATAGCAACATGACAACTCAGATCTTCTGTTAATGACGTTCTCTTTCTTCTTTTCACCTCCTTTAATGAGCTTCCGCAAACTATACTCAACGTGCCGTCTGAAATTACTGCCTTTAGTGACTCAAAGCCATTCACACTGTAAATTAACTTGCCATTTTTAGCAGCGACCACTTAACATGCACGCTGCAGCCCGTAGATTTAAAGCTCCATCTTGCCGAAACCCTTTCCGTGTCATTTTTCAAATCTTCATTACGTACCATCAGCCGCCCATTAATAACCCGGGATTTCATTCGCTGGAGTAGTTTAGCTTAAATCCTTGCTAACGTCTGCAGACTTGCTGACCCTGGCTTTAAAGAGAGAACGTATATAAGAACAGGACAGGGGAGAAAGACGAGTTCTGGACCAGCGGTGACTTGTAACTGACTGCACAGCGTGACAGCACTCACATTTTAATGCTACCTTTCTCGAAGTACGCTTTTGATTTTACAAAACCGACCTTTAAGATTTTAAGACCCGCGACCTATGAGAGAAACGACACCATTGGCTGGGAAATATTTATTTCAATTTACGACATTGTTGCACTCCCTAAATCTAATTGATTCATCCTCTATCACGGTGTTAATAAATTGGTGGCCCGGGGGCTGAATCCAGCCTGTCGAATCGTCCAATCTGGCCCCCAACTGGATTCCAAAATTAACATAAAAAAATAATGTAAAAAAAAAATGTGATTTTTATTTAATTTGAGTCTCCAGTCCCAAAGGTGTCCAGAAAACTGCTGGCCCTGTCACTATTATTTTTTTATCAATGTCACGATTGAAACAGCAGCCAATCACAGCAGTCATCAGGGGAGGGCAGCATACACCCTGACGTCCACCATTGGACCACGTACAGAGAAAAACAATCACTAACACTCAAGTCAATTTAAGGCGTCCAGTTATATAGTAATATAAACTTTATACAGAAAGACCATTAGTTATCTCTTGCGCTCGAACTTGCAACCCTCTGGTGGCAACACAAGAGCACTAACCACCGTTCCGCGGCGCACAGCCATGTGTACAAACCAACACCAAACACACCATTTTAATTTTTCATCAAAGTGCAGCTCCATCCTCGCTGCCAGTGCTCGAAATGAAAGCCCTGCTCAGATCAGCTGCTCCTCTCAGGTCTGGAGGATTAAACTCAGAACAACTGCTGTGAAGCCAAACCCTCACAGCGGCGTACCTGTACCTGTGATGTTTGATTGGGGTAAACAAATGAAGAGGTTTATTTCACCAACATGAACTGTTTCTCCAACTGTTTTTGTTGACTGTTTTAAAGATCATTCGTCTTTGAGTCTTTGACCTCACCGACATCTGTGTGATATTTAAGGCTCTGCCGCTAAAACCTTCTTACATGAGCAGAATGTGCAATTCTCAGCCTGTGGATTTTTCACAAGATTCTGTAAAATCTCTCTAATTTTGGGAAATCACATTTAAAGACATTTTGGTACAGACCATGACATAAAATCACTCAGAGGTACTGGTTGATGATCATTTTTAACATTCTACTAAAGGGCTTGGTAAAAGTCATAGAGATGAGGTCAAAAATTATTCAAGGAAATGAATGACTTAAATGATGTCTGTCCCTGGAGTCATGAAATTATCAAAGAACTGTTACCATCAGGTAAAACACATGTCTGTGTTTGTTAATTATCACCCACTCACACTTGGAAAACTAAGTACAATGCAGAAACAGGAGCTGTGGTGTTTTCACACCTCCATGTCCTGCACGTGGAGGTGTGAATATGAGTGTGAATAGTTGTTGACGGTGTACTTCATCTGCAGCTTCACGAGCCTTTAAAGGATTAAGGATGGTCTCAAACACCTGGCCAGGGGTGCCAGTTGTGTCCCATGAACCCCTCACATTTGGTCTGTGACAAGATATCATAATAATTCTTTCAAATTTTAAAATAATTTAGTTGCTCAGTTAAGACTGGAAAATGTACTTGCTGTGTGCACGTTGGTGCTATGCAGTATTGATATTTAACAAAAATGACTTTTCCTTGTGGTTTTTTTTTTTACATTAATAATAATTTAAACTTTATTGATCCCATATTTGGGAAATTCTTGTCTTAACAGCATATCTGCTGTTAACAGGCTGCCCCCTAGCAGGCTCCAAGAATGTGGTTCCTCTGGGAATCGAACCTAGGACTCCTAGGCAGGTGTGCTAACCGCTACACTATGGAACCGACTATACTAAATACTGATGTGAGAAAATAATGGATGACTTGATAAATAATATTCATAACATTTTTACTGCAGCCACACCCTGACCACAATGCTGAATGAGTATAAAAAAAAGTACAGCAGTGCAGTACTACAGTACTGCAGAAGACCAGAATCTTCTGACCGTGTTTTTTTGCTAATTTTGCCACACGTCGTCTCCGTGTAAATCTTCCAAGTCGCCACAAATCCCTTCATCTCATGTTTTTATTCATGTCTGTCTCGTTCTGTCCTTTGTGTTGATGGACAGGTGTACGATGGAGAGAACACTTCATCCCGTCTCCTTGGCAACTTCACACGCGACGGCATGATGGGTCATGTCATCAACAGTACGTCCAATCACTTGAGGTTGGAGTTCAACAGCAACGCTTCTGGAACGAATCAGGGCTTTCGTCTCTCGTACACAAGTGAGTTACCTCTGAGAGATTGGAACTTTGTATCAAGTCATTACAAATGCATTGTTTTCCTTCTCTGTTGAGTTTTACAGCCACAGCTACAGACGTGTGAAACCCAGAGGTCACTCGTGGTTCACCTGTGGTCCTCACCTTCTTTATTATCATCTTAATATACAGTATATATGTATATATACTCTCTCTCTCTTTCTGTTTTGGCTAACCATTTATTCTCTAGTCTGACAGAAACAGATTACTTTCTCTGGTGACTTGCATCTATTTTTCTGGATTTAGCTGAAAAAGAATATATATACTTGGCTACTTTTTAGCAATTTGTGCCTCACAGTTATTGACATTTTGCTTATTTGTATTCACTTTTATTCGACTGTGGCTCCTCGTTATTGATTTTTGGGTTTTCATTTCATCAATCTGGTAGCTGCATTTGCATTTTTACTGGCTTATGTTCAGGTTTATTAGTGTCAAGCTTGAATTGTTTCCACGGTTTCAACCACGGTTTTTTTAGCTAACCCTATGATCCACCATTAGCTGTGTATTCTGCTCGATTTAAATTGCATTATTGTTGCTCTGTATTGAGATTCCAGATAGATTTTTACTTTAATCTGCTCTTTGACTATTTCTTAATATTGTGATTCATCCCATAGCTTTTTTAAACTTAAACAGTTACCTTAAGCTTTATCCAGGCTAACTTATTGTTTTCCTAGTTCCTAACTTTAAATGCAAAAAATATAGAATAGTTATACAATTAGATTACTTGAATGTAAAAATGCATATTTTAAACAGACAGTTTTGTGAAATGCACTTCACACATGAGCCACTTAGACTAAAGTCTGAGGTTCAACATGAGTAGCTGCTGGTCCATGGATATGTTTCTGTTGTCAAAGCTGTCGCCTTTGAAGCCTTTGTGGTACTTTCTTCAATCCTCGGTATCTCCCCATCTGCTCGTCTTCCTGTCTGGACACCACGGAAAACACACACTCCACTGGTCTTACAGATGCAAAGAAGTGAAAACTTGAGTGGAAGCTGCTTGTAAACAGCCGATTTTAATTGAAATCCAGAGTGGTCGTGATTGTTTCAGATGACCCTCGTGGGCACGCGGGCACATTAGCATAGTTGCTCAGTCAAGTGATTGTAAGGCACAGCCTACAGGTGTGGGGACGGTGTCCTGTAATATAAATCTCCAGAGACAAATGACCGAGCAATTATGCTCACTCCTGACAGCTGCAGGAGGCCAGCCATCAACTTCACGTGTGTTATTTTCTTTAGAGGCCTCCGGCTACCATCTTCAGGCTCTTCACACACAAGCACACACCCCTTAATTGCGTCAAACGGAGTCGGTTAAGAAGGCACGGCCAGCTGCTGTGTCAGTCAGGGAGGCTATTACACGAGTATTTAGTTGCAGTTCATTTGAAGAAGGTGAGCAGCTGTCACATCTGCTGCGGACAAACGGCTAGATGGAGGAACAAAGGATGGCAGAAGATGGTAGATGGATGGCAGTTGAGCCATTAGACGGCTGTTAATCTGCAAGTCATTAAACCAGAGGAGGCGTCGCCTTCTGCAAAGTTCACAAACAATAGAAGAGTTGATAGACTGAGAAGAGAGAGGGAGAGAGGAAGAGGAGGTAGAAGAGATGTCTCTGCAGGTCATTTTAGCCAAACAGTTGAGTTGAGGACATCTGGACCGTTCTGGTTTCTAGAACAGTGATTCTCAACCACTGTGAGAGATCATTAGGTGTGCCATGGAAAAGTATATGTCACTTAATTGGTCCCAAAACTATTTATTTTTTACAAATATTTTTTCTTTGTTCCTCAATGTGTGACCTGCAGAGCAATTAAATCTCCCTTTCTTCAATTCCTCCCAGTATATCATTGTTGTCTATATCTAAACAGGTTTTAGTCAATGTTTAGTTTAACTTAGGTTTTAGTCAATGATGAGATCATTTAAACTAGACGATTATTATATTTCATTACATATATTTTTTGAGAGATTTTTTAGTGGTGTGCCGTGGGGTTTTTCCTGTAACCCCAGGAAAAAAAATGTTCTTTTTAATTCTGTCTTGAGACTAATTTAAGTCTCACATTTTTCTTTTATAACTTATATATAAGAACTACATCGACTCCATTATAATTTTACCAGTTGATGTTACGTTGTCACCTTGACTTAGATGCTGTATTAATGGGGAACATTTGAAGTGACGTTCACTTCAAATCCTCCTGTCCCTCAGGGTGGGGGTCATTGGAAATGCTGTGTCGTTATTTATCTTCCCTGTCTTGAAGAATAGAAACTTTCTTTACCTTGTTATCCACACTCGCATCCATTACTCATGCAGTTTGAAAATACCTGAAAACATGACTGGAATGTCGAACACCTATCTCTAAGTTTTCAGTTTTAGCAATGTGTGATATCATCACCTCCATACAAATCTTACCCAGCAGCAACAAGGGACAAAGTGTGGTTTCACTGAATCCCTGTGTCTCTCTTTCTTCAGGTTTCGACCTGGTCCACTGTGAGGAGCCAGGCATCCCCAGTTATGGCTACAAGATCCAGGATGACGGCCATTTTGCAAACACCTTTGTCCTCTACTCCTGCAACCCTGGATACAGCCTCCATGGCAGCAGCACACTGACCTGTCTCAGTGGGGACAGACGTGTGTGGGACAAGCCACTTCCTTCCTGTATCGGTTAGTGTTTCTATATCCCTAAATAAATCCATGTTCATTCAGATCGTAGTGATTGATCGAACTTTAAAGTCTCTAAGTCACACTAGGTTTTTTCAATTCAAACTTTGTGACCACATGAAGAGATGAATAGTTTTGCAGATGGACAGAGCCTGTTAAGTTGAACACAGCACTGTTACACTTGCAGGAATTGAAGAAAGACTTACACAAAGATCTTGTTCAACAGTTCTGAGTTATTTTCTTTTATTGGTTTTTTCAGCCATTTTCTGCCACAAACAGTGGAGTGTTTAATAGTAAATGAAGTTGAGGTTTAACAGTAATTTATTTGACATTGTCAAATTACTGAAACAGATTACAGGCAGTATATAAATATTAGTTTTCCAGTCAGTGAAGTGAATTTGGAGAATCACCAGTGCCTCAGCACAGTAGTTAGAAATCGCTGTCTTAAATGTCATTTACAAGATTATGTAGCTGTACTGTAGCAACAGGCAACAAACAAATATTCAGCTTTGCTGCCACCTACAGGGCTGGAGAGTGTACAACAGTTTAAACTAGCAACGTGCCAGAAATCTAAGAATTTAGGAAAGGATGGTAAAATGTCTTATTTATTTTTTTTAATATACTCGTAATTCCATAATAGTTTGACCTTAAAAAGTGCATTATCTGGTCCCTCACAGTCCACAGAAATCCTGGTCCCCTCTGTGTTAAAGGGTGTCTGGATTATGTGCAGAGATAAGTGATGACTGTCTTTTAAATTTACAATGCAAGTCATATTCTTTTTTTTCTTGGACCCTTTATCTGGGGCAGTATTTTAAACACTGACAAAAGTTTTATCTTCTCTATTTTCAGCAGATGTGATAAATAAAAATTCCTCTCCGGGTGAACATTTTTATGTCTGTGCTCATAACAGCCATGGCCAGAGGCCCTTTGTTTTGGGGATTTTCTATACCTTTCACCATTCCATTCGTGTAAATGCAGTATGCAGGAGCCTCTTCGAATGTAGTGGAAGCACTCTCTTTAACCCAGAGTACTGACAGGTCCTAACAATGCAGAGGGGACGTCTTCTGGCTTTTTTTAATTTACAGCTAATGATCTCAAAATCCAAAAGTCAAGGACGGTGGGACCGACCAAATATGTTTGGGACATAATATAAAAATCCAGGTTGAATTTCTGGATCCTTATTGCTGATCGTGTTTGAGGTGATTTAGATCAGTGCTGTTTTTAATGGACGAACATTTTGTGGGATAATAAACGAACGCATCCATCTGTGTACAGAAATGTAAAGATTCAACTAATGCAGTAAGTTCCTTCCCCTTCACTATATCCACTGACTTTTTCATATTTTACTGCGTAATAATAGGAGTTCATTGTGAACTCAGTGCCTCATCAAACTCCCGCATTAATGTCCCAGATCTAAAGAAAGAAGCCAGAACGAGGTTATAATGTGCTGTAACCATATTATTATGAAAGTTTTCCATTTCTGCAAATTGCCAGTCACGTTCCAGTGGTTTCTTCTTGTTATACGTGTACAGGGAAAATAAAGTGAACGAAATAAAAAAACTAAAAACTAATAAGGCAGCCACCTCCAGGGTGATTATAGCAAACACAATAAAACTATGTCCTAAAGTTCCAGTTTGGATGTAGCAATTTGAAAGATATAGTTTTAATTTGACTTTAATATATATGTTTTATTTAACCTGCAATATTGTAATTTGAAAAATATATATTTTTAGTTTAGACGTAAAATCGCCCAACCCGGTCTATCTTTCCAACTATTTCCATAACGACAGTCAGATTCGCCCGTCTCTCTATGCAACTATTTCCATAACGACAGTCAGATTTTTGGGGTAACCCTTTATGCCATGTTGTGTTCTATTGTAAACCATTTTATTTAGCATATAATGTATGTTTCATACATACATGCTGCCACCTAGTGACTGGAGGCTTGTTAGCATTCAACTATTACAGCAGTGGTACACTTATGTCCAGTACGTGTCATATTCCATTGGAAGCCTCTCACATCCCCCCCGGCACCTCACTGCGCCCCACAGGGGGGTCCGCCCCACTATTTGAGAAGCACCGGGTTAGGCTCTGTTTCGACAGGGCTGATTGGAGTAAATTAACCATCTACATCCGACCTCCTGCTAAGGCAGGAAGCAGCAGGTCCTGTCAAATTAGAGGCTTCAGTATGACATGGGAAGATGGTTGTCTTTATTCAGTTAATCAGATTTGCTGCCCCTTAAAACACACTGTTTACCCTTGTATATAACGCAACACTCCCAAGTACTAAATATAAGAAAATACAGTTTATAACAACACATGAGAATATTTCTCCTCGAAGAGAGAAGTATTTTTCACATTTTGTTTTTAAATTTTCTAAAATAACTGGCACAAATTAACTCTAAAGTTTTGAAAAGCCGAGACAGACCTTGAGTCTTCCTGACCTGTCAACACAGCTGGGCTGCCTCAGGTCGTCCTTCGCCTTTTTTGAAGTTTGCTTTGAGCAACTGAGAAGTGTGTACGTGTGTTCCTGTAGTTGTGTGTCTGTGTGTGGGTTCCCAGACTTTTCTAAGAATTTTCTAAGTCAGTCATTAATTAATTCCTTCGTTACTGCTCTGCTGCTGACTTTCTCCGGCTAAGCCACTAACCAAGAGAGGAGTCTCTGACACTGCCCTGAGCTAACTAACCCTATAGCTCTCATTGTAGTTTCTCTTTTTCCACTCATTCTTGCAGCGAGCGCCTCTCTGCCACTCAAAATATTTTCTGCCTAGAGTGTGTGGCTTGGTCCTAGCCCTCTGTGTGTGCCTGCGTGTATGTGTGTGTGTGTGTGTGTGTATGAGAGGTTTGGCTTTGCCTGAGGCGTTGTCCTTCTTTCTGTATTCAGTACCGAGTCAAACAGCGAGGTGTTCCATCACTCTGGGACTTCATTCTCTCTCTCACTCTGTTCTTATATGACACATGTCTGTTTCCCTCTGTGTATTTGTGTGTGTGTGTGTGTGTTATATGTTGTCTTATTTCTGTGTCAGAACTTGGGAAACTCCAGTGTAAATCAGAACCCACCAACTGTAGAAGTGGTGTCCAAACTTTCCAGGAAGCCATATCGGGTCATTTAGAAATATCCAAGGATTTTCTCTTTACATCTGTGAAATCTGTTCAAATCGGTTGAACTTAGTTGATAGAAATAAAAGAGATCTGTACTGAGCTGTGGGCTGAAGAGATCAGTTTTTGGTCAAAATTATATGTTTAACTATATGAATATATACTATATGATAGAAATAAACATCATTAATACATTTAGTAAAAGTTGATCTGTTTCTAACAAAAATGGTTAACAAGCATAAATCGTATTTTTTTTCCTGTATCATTTCAGTTCAATTTACTGAACATTAAAATAAATTCTAAACTTTCGTATTCTTTTATGATCACAAAAACAGCCGTCAAATTTTTATTGACTAACCTTGAAACTGTATGACGGGTCCTTTGCAATTCAAGGTAGATTTATTATTTCAAGCATTTCTGAACTGATTCTAATTTAACTCCACCTTGACATGTCAGAGTAATTTCTAAGGGAATTAAGAGCCCTATTCCTCACAGAGATGTTAATGGAGCTGGAAAAGTCCGACACAAAAGTATTGAGATGGAAGGTCTTCATAGATCGAGGAAGTTTCTCCATTTATCTCTCTATTGTTATGTAGATTTCTCCGGGTAAGACATGTTTTGTTAACTCGACCTTTCTTTCTCTCTCTTCTTCCCTCTTCTCAGCAAATGTCAACTCATATTCCTGTTCTTGTGATAACATTACATTTTAAATATGCTCAGTAATAATGCGACCACTAACTGGTAGTACGATTCTGTCTTTTGTGATAAAAGGTTGATTGGAAAGAAACAACAACATAGGAGGGAACAAGAGATAACAAAACAATATCCCTGTAAAATATTATGAGTATTTCAGCATTTTCTAAACACATACGCCGATGACACATTGCTATTTTTAGACGTCACATCACAAGACCACTGCCATTGTGTGTTACTTCCAAACTAACCAGTCCGATCTCTTTGTGCGATGTCCTTGCAGCTGAGTGTGGAGGTCACATAACTGGAGCCGTGTCCGGACGGATACTGTCTCCAGGATACCCCGCTCCTTATGACAATAATCTTCACTGTTCCTGGACGATAGAGGCCGACACTGGAAAGACCATCAGGTAAACCCTTGTCATGCAGCCCATCACCATAGTGTGGACATGATGACGTAGGCTGTCCACAAACCATTTTAATTATATCACCTCTTTGAGACAACCTAAATTATTGGAAGCGTTCTCTAATTAAAACCACCTGAAAATGATGGGTTTTGTAATTATACCAAAAATGTGCCAAAACTATCGAGGGTCATTTTCGATTCCACCTTCCTCATTGGAACGCTGTGAACTTAAAAGCACAAACTGTCAGGTAACAATATAGTCACTAATTAGAGGAAGAAAACGATTTGCTGTTAAGTCCACTGCTGTGGCCCAGAGTAAACCACATCAGTAAATATGTCAGCCTCACATTCCTTAGTATTATCTTGGTCACTGCATGTGTGTGTGTGTTTGTGTGTGTGTGTGTAATGAAGAAGAATGTGTTAATTATGTGTCATGTGTTTTTCATTTTTTATTCACAAACCTTCAAATCAACATTTCTTCTTCGTGTGTTTCCTCAGCCTTCATTTCATCGTCTTTGACACTGAGATCGACCACGACATACTCAGAGTTTGGGACGGACCGTCCGGGCCGTCGGATGGAGGAATCCTGTTGAAAGAGTGGTCCGGTCCAGCCTTGCCTGAGGACATTCACTCCACTTTCAACATCCTCACGCTGCAGTTCGATTCAGACTATTTTATCAGCAAGCAAGGATTTTCTATTCAGTTCTCCAGTAAGTAGCTGAACCTCTGAATCCAAAATCTGAAAATACTGATTTATCACAGTTGCATAAGTTATAATGAACTAACTAATTAGTAATTAGTCGACCTAATGTAGTCCCAAATCCAGCTTTTATCACTATTAGTTTTTTGGCTATTTTACAGTGTGAACATAATTATTAATCTGTACAAACCATTAAACTAAATTAAGAAAAATCATTTTGCCGAAAAAAATTTGAAATGTAGTAATTGACCCCAGGAGTCAGGGTCACCACATGACTAAAATCCCTGTAGGTGACCAGTGCTGGCTTAGTGGTAAAGTGAAAATGTGTGACCTGTGCTGGCTTAGTGGTAAAGTGAAAATGATTTATGGTTCACAACAGTTGATACTATAAAACAGGGGTGGCAAACATATGGCCTGGGGGCCAAAAACCAGCCGTTAGGGTGTTCAGTCTGGTCGGCTTAATAATTTTTGAAAAAAAAATACACAAACATTTCATGTTCAGGATATTTATAGCAAAATGATTTTTCATTAAAATGAATAAATAATAATAAATATCTAATATACTTGTACTTGTTATTTATAGTTAATTATGTTATGATTGTACTGGTCCAGTCCACATCTGATTAGGTTGTACAGTATGTGGCCCAAGAACCAAAATGAGTTTGACACCCTGGCTATAGAAGGAAATGAAACTGCATGTTCATGTATTTTTATTTTTTTATTCAAGACATCTTTTCTGTGTTACTTAAAGTATATTCAGAGGACATAAATAAAACGCTCTCCTTTTCAAATCAGTGTACTGCACTGTAGTAGAGACACACTGAGAAGATGAAGATATAAGGAAGGTGAAGTCAGGCAGAACAGAATAGAAAGACAAACTTTTTTCTTTCTTGTTGTTGTGACAAAACGTTTTTCTCAGAGTTTCTCCATTGAGTGGAAATCCAGTAAAGGCCTAGCTCAGCATCTGCTGGCTTCAGTAGAAATCCAACAAAAACCTGGCTCAGAATTCCGAGTCCAAAAGAAGTCCAGCAGTGACATACCTTTGACAAATTAATAAAATGGTTCCAAAAGGATCCAGGAGTTTCCTAGGTCAGCATCGCACCTCTCTGTCACAAAGAGCAGAAAAACTGAAGCAAAGACCTGGCTCAGCATCAGCCCGCTGCACTAGGAATACCAAGAGAAGGGACGCGAGGACAAATCCTATGGTCAGGCTGAGGACATTTCAGCTACTCAGTCTATAAAATGTCCTGATTACCTGGTTTAGCGTGGGGCAGAGAAAAAAAATTTAAAGGGCAGTAATCAAGAAATGAAATCAGATTTAATGTTTTTATCATTGACTTATTGACTTGTTAAGTTGAACAAGAGCCGTCACATAACAAGGCAGCTTCAGGTTCCTGCCTGTGATAATGACAGTCTTTCTTACTATACAAACAGAAAATCATTATACGCTCGTCTGGTTTTGTACACTTCAGCTACCACAGCAACCACCTGCAATGACCCCGGCATCCCAGTAAATGGCTCTCGCTACGGGGACAGCAAAGAGCCTGGTGACAGTATGACGTTCCAGTGTGACCCAGGATACCAGCTGGAGGGCAAGGACACCATCACATGTGTTCAGATGGACAACAGGTTCTACTGGCAGCCGGACCCTCCGACGTGTATAGGTAGGCAGGTGTCGCCATGTTTCCACAGTCTGGTTCTGTCATTGTTTTTACTATTCTTAATGTGTGGGGAAAACCTGGGAAAACCCAAGATCTCCAGAGTCATTGTTTTTACTATTCGTGATGTGTGTGTAAAACCTGGGGAAAACCTAAGATCTCCAGTTTGGTGTCTTTCTCAGTTCTTTCATGGAGGACAAAGGGGTTTGGTGTCTCTCTCAGTTCTTTCATGGAGGACAAAGGGATATTTAAATATTTTTTTCCCACTGTTGAAGTTGATATTGTTTGATTGCAGGTTGGAACCCTGGGTGTTTTTTTTTTGTTTTTTTACTAAGCACTTCATTCACAGAATGTGCAGTTCAGCCCACTGCGACTATGTATCCACTGGGGCAGTAACAGAAAAACCCATTTGTTGACGCATTGACGTAATTAGTCGACGCCCCCTGGGAGGAGTCAGAAAGTTTTTGTTTTTTATTTTACACTATAACATGTCCTCTGTTGTCGTGAGTGGCTCCTGCTGATATTTTATCCTTGCCATACCCAATAATCACTACGTGAAACAGATGTTAATGGTTTTTTAGTGAAAGAAAATTGACACTAGACGCATGAAGCCTCCCATCATTGACGAACGAACAGTCCAGAAATGTGATAAATGAGTTATTTCTCTCCTGGGCATTAACAGAGCACAGATAAAGAAGATTTAACATCTTTCTTGAATTTCTTTACAAACTTTCCTGAAAGTTTGGCTTTGATTCTTAACTGCAGTGTTGTGAAAAACACAGCGGTATCAACAGAGAGGCCCCGACGTGCAGTAAGAATTCATTCCCCTGAAAGTGCTATAATTACCACCATCAGAGACATGAACCATGTGTAAATCAAGCCCCTCATTTCTCCCTCTTGACTTGCTGACGCACAATGTTTCCAAGCAAACAGACACACATGCCCGAGCCTTCGACAACAAACAATAAGTGCTTCAGACATTACTGACGTCAAAGGATGTTTGAAAATTTGTCTCCGCTCCTGGTAAAGTAACCGCACATCCTGTGAGACGCCGCTCTTATTTCTGTGCTCGACGTTTAATGACCTGCTTGATCTTAGACCTGTATCTGGGTGGTAGTCATAGTTTTATGAAGATTCACATCCACGGCTCCGGTAACTAAATAAAAAACGGTGGCCAAAGATAATTTTCCAAAAATCACAGATGTTGTCTTTATCATTGAAGCCGTGATTTCAGGGCTGTCAAGTGATTACAGAAGCCTTCACGTAAACAGCACTTTAAAGGACTGGTGATTTCAGGGCTGTCAAGTGATTACATTATCATTGAAGCCATGATTTCAGGGCTGTCAAGTGATTACATATGGATTACTTTTAATCACGATTAATCGTGATAAAGAAAAGAAACATGAGGTCACATGACCAGTCCATTTCAGCAGATAACTCAATGCTGTTACAAGATTTCTTCATCCAAACCTCACACCTGTGCGTCCCCCCCCCTCGTTTCTTCACGGCACAGACCCCCCACTGCTCCGACATCCTGATTCACACACCATTCTCACAATTTTCCTCACATTATTTTTATCCCGCCGATTCCCGCTCAGCCGTCTCTGTGTGTATTCCATGTCGCGCTTGACTTCCCCACTAAAGAAGAAAAGTGACTTCTCAGTCATATTTTCTACCTTGTAAACTACCAGAACAGCACAGTCAACACAGACGACAAAAACAACATTGGTAACGCAACAAGACCTTTGGTTGTCCTCGCCCATCAACCTCAAAATTATGCAGTGCGAGAGCCAAAGAACAAGCCTTGGCTACATTCACAGATTCCTCTGCTTGTACTTTTTTTTGTTCACACTCTGCTGCTGAACTGCGTGCCCCAGTCAGTGAACAATGAACAACATGCTTTTGTATTTATTTATTTACTTTTTATTTTTTGCATCGGTTTGCTCCTGACCCATTATGTGATGCTGGACAGGGAAAATAAAAGGTCACATTTACAGTCACTTATTGGTCCTGGACAGGTGGATTTCTATTATTTTCACAGTTTTCAAACTGGTTCTTGCTAAAGATTGGACATGATAATAATAAATAAATAACAGAGCTATTTCTCTACATACCCTCCACTTAAGTCCAACCACTTCAGCTCACGGTTCGATCTTATCAGAGAATACAGTTCCAGGTCACTCTGCTTGACCTTGGTTGCCTATAAGAGTGCAGTGATGCAGTGGTTGACTGTCTGCTAATGTCTGCTGCTGGTCTGAAGAATACGTAGAGGCTCCTACTCATTACATTAGCCCTCTGCTGGTAACTCCATGTACTGATCGCGACCCTCAAATGGCCAAATCCCCTGGTGTCCTGAAGCTGCTGTTGGCGAGTGATTAAGTGTGTGTCCATGAGTAATCACAACTATTAATGGCTTTGTTTACCTCTGTTTCACTGGTAATACCCCGTTCACACCCACCTGTCATCCCCTCATGCATTTCAAATTCTGCTGAATCCATATCTGTTTCTCCTGCCAGTATCCGGTGCCTTCTCTCCGGTTCGTTGTGGGGTAACAGGTCTGCGAGGGATAATTCCCTCCCAAAACTTCCCCCAGTCCCACTCTCTGCAATAACATCTCAACACCTCTCCCTATCTGTCTTTTGCTCTTTTACTCTCGCCTGCTACCTGCGGAGGTAATATTCTCAGTCCACCAGGCATACTTCACCCTCTCCTGGCCAACCCCAGCCATAGCTCACACCACTAATGCACTTGGTTTCTGTCTGCCTGTGGGAGTCACATGTGTGGTCAGTCAGGAGCGATTCTCTGTGCAAATTACCTTCAGCCAAATGCTGTGTAATCAGCTTTTGCTCTCACTACACGATTGTGTGTCTTACCCTCTTTCATTTGTCTCATTTGTTGTCTTTACAGCGACCTGTGGAGGCAACGTCAGTGGCCCGTCTGGGGTAATTCTGTCTCCAAACTACCCCCAGCCCTACCCCCCAGGGAAGGAATGTGACTGGAGGGTCAGAGTCAACCCTGACTTTGTCATTGCACTCATTTTTAAAAGGTAACTTAAGGCTACCTTTATTATACACACACTGATTTATTTATTTATTTTTTTTAGCCACTTCACATTGACATAATTCCCCCGTCACCTAAAACCATAAACTAATACACATATTTTTAATCCTAACTCTTAGCTGTTAGGACAACAATAGTATATATTTCACCTACTTTTGAACAGTTGTCTGTTCCTCACTATAGTTTGTGATCAGTCCATTTTCTTCATTAGGCTCAGGGACATTAATGGTCATATTTCAGCTTTAGGCTCAGGAACATTAATGGTCATATTTCAGCTTATGTTGATGATTATCAACTGTTTCTATCTATTTAGCTGCATTAATTCATCAATGGGAAGTGTTTGCCAGTCTAGTGTAAATGGGCAGCATGAAGATTCAGAGAGGAAGTGACAATTTCACACAACTCGAATTCAGTTCCATTAAAGTTGAACTGATATTTTTCTATATATTTTCTATCTTGCTTGCTAACAGCAAAACAACAAGAACGGTTTCACTTTCTAATTTACTGATGATGAAGAGGAGTCATATTTGAGTGCTCACTCTTGGGTGTGGGCGGGGGAAACTTCTTAACAAAGGCTATCAAAGACGGTGTTATAGTTCTGGCTACATTTCCAGTGTAAAAGCTTGTGTTTTATATGACATGTTCATGCGTATTGTTAGACTGATGTTTATAAAACAGCTGCTCTTACGTTCCCCGTTGTTTCTTAACAGATGGCGTGTCTAACGTTTCTAACGAACCACTTTGAAACCTTCCCCACATTTTAACACCGCGAGTGTTATCACTGCGAATAACTTCGAAAAAAATTTAATCACACACGTCACACCCCTGAAAGGGGAGGAGAGGGGGGGCAAATATAATTAAACTTGACTAGCATGTGGCAGAAACACATCCCTAAATACTATCTGTGGGGTTATTTCAGGATTTATCAACATGTACTATAAATACCAGACAGACAGTTGTTTGGTTTTTTTTCGGTTTTTCTGAATGTGCTGCTTTCCCCTCCAGTCTTAAAGCCACGAACACCGTCTTTGTTTCAGCCGGAGCACTGTCATTACTCTTGTATTGTCTGTGGGACCAAAGGACTTTCTACCCATTCTAGTCGCCGGATGTCCTCATTTGACTCGGTGCACATTACAGAGGAAATGTCTTGTCTGAAGTGTGGTTCACCATTTGTATGTTAAGAATAAAAAAAAAGATCCTGATACTGATTTATATTATCTTTACTAGTAATAAAGCACGGACAACGAGAGAGTAATTAATTGTATTAATTGTCATTGTTTAAGAAATTACTGCGGACAATGGGCTTAACACAGTCTGCATGACATGCTGTGTGTATCACAGTCTTTCTAACTGGGTTAGTAGTACCAGGGCTGCAGTATAAACTGTAGACCAGAGTTCAGTCTTATTGGAGATGCTCTCACTTAGCTAGTGGGTCCAGCTGGAGTTTTGTTGGTGTAAATTCTCCATGAGAAATGGTGACCCAGACAGAAGAATAAACAAGGTCAATGCTGATTAATTAAGAACATAGAACTCTTATGCACCAGTTCTCTTCCAAATTGTCTTCTACTGTATGATTAAAAATGAAAAAATGTGGTGAATATAGTTTTAAAATGGCCATGGTAAGAAAGGCCAAGAAACTCTATTGAAGCTGAAGTTGATACAGTAATTGATTAGTCATGAAGTCAAATGTGTTTCTGTCTAGACTTACAAACAAATGCATTTAAACATATTTTTTACAAATAATATATATTTTTCTGACCTTTCAAATCAGACATAAAATGCACCCCGACATTGTTTTTTTTATTAGAAAGTCACTCGAAGTCCTAAAGACCAGGCTCTGAACTTCAACTCGTCCTCAAAAGCTAATTTCGACATGCACGCTCACACACATCGTTCGTAATCAATCTTCCTTAATTCCGCAGCCTAACTTTCTTTGATTTTTGTTTTTCTTTTTTTGCAGCTTCAACATGGAACCAAGTTACGACTTTCTTCACATCTACGAGGGCGAGGACTCAAACGGCCCATTACTTGCGAGTCTCCAAGGCAACCAGGCCCCAGAGCGGATAGAGACCAGTGGTAACAGTCTCTTCCTGGCATTCAGATCAGACGCCTCACTGGGCATGTCTGGATTCGCCATTGAATACAAAGGTAATTAAATCCAAAAACTTCACTTTAACACTATGTCCTCATTGACTTTTCTCGAGGTTCAGCGTATTTAAGACTAGAGTTTCTCTCACAGGTTCTACTTTGTTTTGATTCTACGTTTAGATCACAGCTGTCCGAACTCTTTCAAAGGAGGGCAGATTTGATATTTCAGAAAAAGCCCAAGGGTTCGCTGTGAAACTTGGAACTTTAATTAAATGGCATATCAAAGAATTTCACTTGGGACAACTTTCTGAAAAATAATTAAACCTTTCTTGTGCTTTAGACGTCAGACAGCAAAAGAAATAATTAGTAATCTCTGGTGTTTACAACACCCAAAATTGCAAAAGGTCATTTTTTTTTCTTTTACTTTTTATTCACTGTCCTCGCTAGACTATGGAAATGATTATCTTAAAACACATTAAAAAAATCATGACTGCTGTACTTCCAGAACTACTCTGAGATCATACACAAATACGTCTATGTAGTTTGCACAAATTCTCATAGGACACAGGAGTCATTTGACCAGCAAACATCAGCTGACAACGCTGAATACAAATCAGTCGGCCTGAACTACAGTTAACTTTACAAATGCACTACTAATACTCTTAGCATTACTACACGCTAGCAGGATAGACCTGTTCACATTAAGGTTTTGCTCATACAATCATTATTCCTCCTGATAAACATCCAGTTCTTCTTTGACTCGTGTTCATTTTGTTTTCATTAAGAAACTCAGATCTGCTCAGGTTTTTCCACCTGATAATATTTTGACACGGACAGTAAACAATTTGCCCCCAGACTCGTCATTTGAGCAGGTTTACCAGGTGTGTCTCTCCTCATCGCATTTGCATGTAAGGGAATATCACAGAAGTAATAGGAAGAGACGTGTTGACAGCGGTTGATTATGTATTCTGCTGGTTGTCTGCTCGGGTTGTGCAGTTTGTGAGTCGCTGGCACGCGACCGATTCACAAAGACATGGGAGGTTGTAATGAATAAGGACAGAAGCGTACGTCTTCATGTAACTTTAAAATAAAATCAATTATCAATCATTAGAAACAGGATCTAAGTAATGAGACCTCTCTTAATGAGCCCATCATTTTATGGCTGTTACACAAACCAATAAGTAATGGCTAATTTTTGTTTGTGGATATCGGACTCCCTTTTTTTTTAATTGACCGTCAGTGACCGTAGAACCACCAAAGGCTGCGGGTTAAGCTATTTTAATTAAAATGTTAATTGCCAAAACACAACAGGCTGAAAAAACCTAATGTAGTATGATGTTTCATTTATGGCACGCTTTCATTGGTTTCCTTTTTAGTTATTTGATCTTTGATATTCGACCTGAGTTGACGTTGGACACCAAACTGTTGTTTCCCCTTTAAATCCACCCAAGTATCATCCATCCACCTGAATGGCCTATATATGCACTGAGTGGAGATTCAAAAATTAAAATGTTAAATGAGGTGATACTGGACTGTGGCTTATGCAGACTGTATAATACTTCAAGCTGTCAAGTCTATTAATTTCATACTGACTTTTCAGTTGAAAGGGCTCATCCTGATTTAGGAGACGTTGCCGGCTGAGGGTAATTTAACTGCTAAAGTCAACGTGGAGTCGTTGATTACTTGTTTGAATAACTGGAGACTAGATTTGCTCTGTCAAGTTGTATAAACTCATTTTTCCCCCCCGTTTCTCTCGGCCCATTTATCTCTAATTAAAAAAGATTATCTCCCTCTCTGTTGTCTGTCGCCTCACACTACCTTACACCTCTGTACTTTTGCCATTAATTTATTAGCCTTCATATGCCATCTCTCTAATTAAAATCCAACCTTAATCATCTCCCTCTCTCCTCCACCTGTATCTCTCCCTCTCCTATCTCTTGGTTTTCCTGTCAAGCCCAATATCTCATTGTTATTGGACTATCACTGAAAGCAAACAAGCTCCACTACTACGGCTCAGCAGTAAAGATCCAAGGCAGTTTATTATAGTCTAAATGTGTGGTAACCAGAAAGTTGCCTGATTACAAAAGACGTCTCTAAAAATGCTGCTAAACTTCCAATTAATTGTTTTCAGCCCTTTAGCATCGCAAGAGGAAACAAAGACAGTTTCAGTAGTCCTCGAGATTTAAAAAAAATCTGATTAAAAAACATATATCTTAAATATATTTTTGAATGATATACAATGTTTTTTTGTTTTTGTTTTTTTTCATTAAAAAATCTTAAATATATTTTTGTGGTGAATCATATACAATGTTTTGTTTTTTTTTACAGAAAAACCCAGGGAAGCCTGTTTTGACCCCGGCAACGTCATGAATGCCAGTCGGACAGGATACGACTACAAACTGGGATCTCAGGTGTCCTACAACTGTCATCATGGCTACACAATCATGGGCATGGACACCATCACCTGTGTCATGGGCCACGATGGAAAGCCGGTGTGGGACAAGGCTCTACCTTCCTGTAAAGGTAGGAAAAAATATCAAAATTATAAAAAAAAAGAAGCATTTCTTTTTTCGGCTGTCACCAAAGTGTCTGCTACTGTTAATAACTAACAGTGTTCAGTCCAATTGAGTTAAATTGGATCATTTTCCACAGTGCACCTGAGTATTTCTCCCAGCACTGCACAGTGGTCGGTCATCACTGCTTCATGTAGTTTTTGGTGCATGAACAGCGCGGTCACAAAGGGACAGTTCCTGAAATCACGGGTGGCAGTAGTTGGTGCAGGAACTAGTTTGACTGTAAACAAATGGGAAAAAGAGAGATCAGCTCTGCCCCCTGGGGGCTGGAGACAGACGCTGACAATTGTATATGTAAATGTTGACGTTGAGTAGAGGCTAATTGAAGATGGATTAAATAAACACTCTACACTATAAAAAGGTAGAGAATAGTGACTGTCAACACAGCTGAACAGCGTGTTAGTGTGTAACTGCAGCAAACCGGTGTTTACCGTGGTCCACGTCTCTCACAACCTTCCATCAGAGCGCCGTTGCCCAGTTTAGCGAGGTGTTTAGCTTCATATTCAGAACCTTGACTGACTCTGTTTATTGTTAGTCATAAATCATTTATTTAAAGTCCTACACGCGCTGCAACCCAAAGTGTGTACGTGTGTGTGTGTGTGTGTGTGTGTTGTTCTGTGCGCTCACGCCCCGGGCACCTGAGGGCTAGACTAACTAGTGCCTTTGATTGACAGCTCAGAGAGCTAAGGAGGTAAAACCCACAGAGCTGTCACTCACTGTGTATGTGCCTTAAATGGGTGTGTGTGGTCTTGTACAACCTCGGTTGTGGAGACCGGAAACTGTAGGTGTAGCATCTGATCTTCTTTGAGCAGTGACTCGACTGGAAAAAGTGAAAAACCAAACTGCTTGTTCTCAACACCTTCAGGGATAAATGTGTTTTCTGGGCCACGTACATTTGGTCTAGAACTGATTGATTTTGGTGCTTTTTATACTACAACGCTATTTTACCTTCAACCAGTTTAACCACCTTTAGCCCTCTACTGCCAATAGGTGGCAACATACGACTGTAAACACTAGAAACAGAGAGAAAGAGACTCAGAGATGAAGACTTTCAATTCCTGCAGGTATATGAGGGTTGTGTTCAACTAAACAGGACTAGGTTTCACACTGAATATGTAAATTGGAAGTAAATTGAAACTAGATTATCCTTTTTTTTTGTGAATATAGTTTTTGTGACATGTTTACCTGTTGAAGTTACAGTTGAACCCTCCTTCCCCGCCAGTGATTTCTATTTCCTTCTCCTCCTTTGGCTTGTTATGTTGTTAGACATAGAATTTCCTTCCACATTCAGAGTTGAAGGATGTCCGTCCGTCTGTCTCTGTCTGTCTCTGTCTGTCTCTGTCTGTCTTTTCATCTTTGATGTGACCCCTGGGGCTTTTAGACCAAACACATTAGACAGGGTGAGACCTCTTTAAAAAATACGTTGCCATTTACACTTTTGGTGTCTGCTTTATTCCTTTTTGTCCTCCCTTCACACACACACACACACACACACGTCTGTGGATGTTGTTACTCTGATTCCTTTATTTTTGTTTCTCCTCCTTCCTCCCTTCCTTCTTTTCCTCCCTGCCACCCTGCCATTCTTTCTTCTCTCTTTACCTCTTACTTTTTTGTCCTTCTCAGTGTCTCCATCTCACACACCCCTACAACTCCATCTGAAACCACTCTTTTAGTGGTTTCCATAGTAACTAAGAGCAAGTGGGAGAAAGAAGGAATACTTAGTGACTATTGATAGAGTTCTGTGAGAGAGTGTGTGTGTGTGTGTGTGTGAGAGAGAGAGAGAGAGAGCCTCAAAGCTATGACCAAGAGCCACATGAAGACAGCCTTCGGCCGTTGTTGAATTTTCATTATCCCAAATTCCACATTAGACTGCACTCCGTGCTGGCTTTGGCTACACCTTAATACATGGATATTGTTTGTCAGACATGATCACACATTCCACTGATTCTAAATGCTTTTTTAAAGTTACCTCAAGTTTACACCTCAGGATTTACTGCCAGATCCCTTACCTATGTTTCCCCCTAATAGGTTTTGGTTAGATGGATGGATGGATGGATGGATGGATGGATGGATGGATGGATGGATGGACGGACTGAGGTGTAAGATAGAGGTGTGGATTGATAGACAAAAGAGTGAAACATCCTGCATTGCATGCCAACACCACGCCTCACTGATCACACCCCCCTCGTACTCCAATACTATTGTGGAATTTTGCAAATATTCTCAGTAGTACAAATTTATTCTGAAAAAATAATAATCGTGTAAAATAAATTAATGAATTAAAAAAAAAATTATATCCACTGCAATATATTATGCTTCTTTTGCTTCTTCTAAACTTGCAGTTAACACGCAAATCACGGCATGAAAAGTGTGTGTTTTACTGGTATATCTGTACTTGTGGGGAGAAATACTAGAGTTTTGGGGACCTTTGATCTGGAGGGGACTTTTTCAGGTGAATGTATTTTTAGGTTTAAGATTAAGATTGGAGTTACAGCCAAATTAGAAGTTAGTTTTAGGATTAGGGGTATGTTGTCTGGGTAATGAATTGTCTAACGGAAGTTTTCACAAAACAGAGTCTGAGGCTCAGAACTACAAGACTGCCATCTTTAGTGTTTGTCTTACGTCTGTGCCGATCAAAGTGTGCAGATGCACGAACCAAAGAACGTCTTAGCTATGCTTTTTTTTTTCACACAAATTTTTTTTTTTGCACATGTGTGAGTGTGTGTAATTGGTCAAAGCCCACATGCGTAAACCGTTTTGATACGACTGACGCCTAGGCCTGAAGCAACACAAGCAGGGAATCGTGGGTAGATCAAGCCGAGACCACCAGACCTCAGGGTTTCATTGCAGCAGCAAAAAATCGATTCAAAAAATATCAATCGATGTCAATGCACAAGATCAGGAGGGTAGAGAAAAAAAAAGAAAAAAGAAAACAGAGGCAGCTCACACGCTGCAGGAAACAAAAGGTTGGAAAGGAAAAGAGTCTGAAGGAGGAGCATGAGTGGGTGAGAGTGGAGGTGCCTGGGGAAGGAGTGGAAACCTTTTCACTCCAGGCATATAAATCAGTTTATGCTGAGCAAACAACTTATACAGGAGTAAGGGCCAAGCCATCACACACACACACACACACACACACACACTCGTATATACTTTGACATGTTTTGCAGGTAAGTCTGCAAACGCTGAGAGTTTTCCCACTGTGAAATCACTGAGTGCTCCATATCCCTCTCTGTAGTTTAGATGTTTATGTTCCATTTCTATGAGACAGAGATGTCAGATATTTTCACTGCCGAAAGCATCCCAGATTATAGTAGTTTATAGTAAAAAAAGAAACGTTTATTGTCTCAAATTAGCACATTCTGTAGATACTGTTTGAAAATCTGAATTTATTTGTCGATTTTGTTATAAAAAAGAGACTTTTATTGTCTCGAATTAGCACATTCTGTAGATACTGTTAAATCTGAATTTATTTGTCGATTTTGTTAACTCTACGTAGGCTGTTCATTCATTTCATCGGTGATCTTTATATTTTATCTGACGATCTCCTTTCTTAGCAAAGTAAGCTAGTCAGTTAGCTCGGTTAGTTTCCTGGACAACGTTGATTCATAAGTTACCTTTCCATTTCTCTCGTAACAATTTCCAACTCTTTTGCCCTTTTCTGCCGGTCTAACGAGTGCAGAGGTGATGATAATTAATGACTGATTTGAAATCACAGTGTAAGTGGACAGTGGGGATAAATGGGTACAGCACAGAGCGACGAGAATAAAACAATACAATGAGATTCTACAGAAGAGAGAGAGTGGAGAGGCCCCGATGAAGGCGATGATAGATGTCTTCGATGTGTGTTTCACACACACACACACACACATAAACAGTCACACACTTTGACGTCGTCCATTGACCTCTGCTTGTGCATTAATGTCCGCACAACAGGTTTATAACTCTGCTGGGTTTCCTCAGGATGGATTACGACTGCCACCGTTAGGTCTGCTTCTTGTAGGTCTTGCAGCAGAAGTATATAATTGCAGTACCGCCGGTTCAGGCGCTGGCCTGCTGTGCAGCTCGCTTCGCTCCACATAAATTCATTCACTTAAATTTTTACCCTGCAGGTTTTTTTTTTTTTTTGGAGAGTAGGGAAAAAAAGTGGTCTCACAGTGGGTCGCAGCACAATTCAGAATTATGCTGTTTGGAGCTGAACAGCCTAAACTGTTTTATCCATCCATCCATCCGTCCGTCCATTTATCCATCCATCCATCCATCTATAATGAAAAAAAAAATCTGCTGTGAGATGTTTTTGTGTTTCTTAAGTTGTTTCCCAACAAATTGGACGAAATGATCAAATTGTCTCAGTGGTTCATCGCCCATATTTTAACTAACCACATTCTGGCTCCAGCATTGGCTCAACTGGAATCCAACTTCTCTTATAAAAACACACAGATACACATAGTCTCATAATCTAACAATGCCTGGGAGCCACCAGGACCAAATGATAATTGAGGACAACATGAACTTCTGTCAAACAAAACAACTTTTCTGGCCAATCGTTGTCATTCAGATTTGCTTTGAAGAATACAGGAGAATAACAGATTAGAGAAGCTACGGGTTTGCCAGCTTTGAACAGGGTGGGCAGCATTCCCAGCAGCAGGAAAAGGTGAATCAACATGAATAAAACACTAATATTCATGATGTTTGGAGCATAAAAAAAAGTGATGAAAGGTGCTTCACTGGTATTGTTGTATTTCCATCCAGTAGAATCAGTGACAGTTTTGATCACCTGCCTGTTACTTTAGCTTCCATGGGGGAGGGGGGGGGGTTCATTGGAGTCCAACAGCAGAACTGGTGTCAAACAGATTCATTTGTTTACTGGTCGGACATGCTTTTTAAACTTTAAACTAGACTTGTCGGAAGATATATGCTACAGGAACCAGGTCCTTTTAAGACATGACTGCAGAATGAGTTGTTACACAGTGAAAAGTAAGGGTCAAGGTATTTGAATATTTCTCTGTCCCTACTTTAGCAAAGGAAGAAAAATATTTGTAGTAAATAAATAGTAGTTTTCTGGTTAGTCAAATCCAAAGATCTCTCACGGTCCACTCCTATCCCGCAACACATCGGTTTGACATCACTGATCTAAAGACTGTATAAACATTAACATGGCATCATTTGGCACATGTTACTAACACACACAGTAATGCAGTACATTCTAATCCAATGAAGATGCAAAACATGAAATAATCTAAATGGTAGTAATTTAGTTAAAGTCTTTATTACAAAGTCTTCACAGTATCCAGAGCCGCTACATTTTTCTGAACGCCTCGACTGCGTGGACGAGTGCAGGTGGTTTCCAGCAAATGAAACCTCAGGCTCTTGTCTGTATCTCTGACACGCAGCTCAGCCACCGTGCAGAGGAAACCGGTCTTGGCTGCCTGCATTCAGACTGCTGCTCCCGCCTGCTGCTGTCATTATGCACAGCCCATGACCATAGGTGAGGGTTGGAATGTTGATAGACTGGTAAATGAAGTGCTTCATCTCCCAGCTGCACCACAATAAGCAGGAGAATCCTGTGCATCAGTGCAGTTCATGCCATGGTTTGGTTGGACTTAACCTCCTTAGTTGAAAACCTCTCTCCACAATATATTATAAAGCGGACAAATAATTGGTTCAATAATCATGGGCAGATGTACATTATAAAGGGGACAAATAATTATTGGTTCAATAATCATGGGCAGATGTACGACCGATGTTTTCTAAGATGATGGTTTTATTTTCTTGTCAATTACTTATGTTTTATTTATGCATTTGTTCGACCCATGTGGTCTCGACTCCAGACTAGAATTTAAAAGTCACATCAAACCCAAACCCTCGGTATACTTTAAACTCAGATCCCAAATATGGAGTACCACTGAAAACTGTCGTCAAAGTTATAAAGTTCAACTTGTTTGCTTCAATACCAACTGTGATGATCTGTTGTTGTGTGAGCAGTGCAGTTCAAGTTGTTTTCCCTCAATATTGTTTTTTTTTTTTTTTTTAGCAGTAAAAATAACCCATAGTCCATCAGCCCAGGTAGATTATTACCATCACCTTCTGTTCTTAATGGGAAAATGAATGAGTTGTGTTCTGGTATCAGCAGGGACATTATGCTTTACACTTAAATGCAACTGCTGATGGCTCTTTAGGTGCCATGGTGATTCCAGCCCGAGCTACGCTTGTTACAGTTAATATCACTCTAATCATTAAAATACATTAGTGTGTCGGTAATCAACAGATGAAGATGAGTTGGAGTTGGAGTGCATTTAACACAACAATGTGTTTTTTTTCCCCAGTGTCAGGGGATGGATTATGAGTGCACACCTGTTGGTCTTGTTATGCAAATATAATTCTTATATACTGTATATATTTATATACATATATGTACACACACACATATATATGTATATATATATGTATATATATATACACATATATGCATATATATGCACACATAGATATGTATATATGTGTATATACATATATGTATATATTTATATATGCAAATACGTATATATGTATTTATACGTACACATTTGTGTAGGTGTGTATATGCATGGATATACAAATATACAGTATGTAGATTTACATATATATACTGTTCATGCATACATATGTATAGATTTACATATATATATACTGTTCATGCATACATATGTGTGCATGTATTTGTATGTGCATATATATATGTATATATGTATATATTTCTATAAACAATTCCAAATCTTATTTACATTTGGTATTTTTTCTTCTGATTTGAAACAGAATTACATTATCACGCTGTATGCACGACATTTCACTAAATGCAAATGCCTAGAGCTGACAAAAGTGCTGTGCTGATCTTACATAAGATACACTTAGGCAAAGAGAGGAAAAAAAAAGGTGTCTGCACAGACTGGTGAGCCAGTTTGATGATAATATGCATGTCCTCAGGCACTCAATGTGCCTGAAGTGAAAAACTAATATGTCTATGATTCTCCCACTCTCAAAAAAAAAACCCAGTGTACAAAGTATTTAGGCAGTAGTTTAAATACAGTTTAAGTTTTGCCTTGGTTTAAAACGTGTCTGTCATTTCCAACAGCTCCATGTGGAGGCCAGTATGGAGGATCAGATGGGGTTGTGTTGTCTCCTAACTACCCTCTCAACTACACCACGAGGCAGAGCTGCTCCTATTACATCACTGTGTCCCCACAGTTCGGTAAGTTCTTAAAAAAAATAAAAATAATAAAACCATCTAATTTAATCGTGGTCTCCAAACGTTTCTTGCCACAGAGACCAGATTCAAACGTGTGAAAATACTGCCTAGTTACTCTCTCTTTCTTCTTCCCCTCGGCTCTGCCCCCGTCAGTGGTATTTGGACAGTTTGCAGTTTTTCACACATCGATGAACGATTCTGTAGAGTTGTTTGATGGAGCCAATGAAAACGCACGATTGCTCAGCTCCCTAGCCGGGTCACATTCAGGTGAGTCCCTGGTGTTGATTCGCTCAGTGATAGAGAAAACAAGAAGAGAATGTTATTATTATTTTCATTGTTTTTTATGTTTGATTAGATTAAAATTTTTGGATTAAATAAAGTTGGGTTATCTGATTAATACAGATTAGACTGGATTTTGATTTCAGACATGGTTTATTGTTGTATTTTGAGTGAGTATATTTCATTATATTACACTTAGAAAAGTAGGGTTTTAGGTTTTGGTTGGTACCAGTGTACACATGTTCATCATCGAGCTTATATCACCATCTCAGACCTTCCATTCCATAAACCACCACCAGGTGGACAGCAATGATTAGATTACAATCCATGTAGCAAGATTTACAAACTTTACTTTTGTTCATTTATCTTGACATTTTGAATAGGAATACAAACTGTTTTAAAACACATACTTGTTGTAATTGTATAGATTTTTTTCTTTTCATTTTTAATTAATTGTAATTAATCCCCGGCAGCGCTGTCGTTGATCAAATCAAAACTTTTACCAATCGGACAGCCCTGATTATTACATGTTTATCCAATGACAGCAGCAGGGGACAAACCAATGCCATTTACCCAAAAACTAAAAGTTTATTTATTTATCATTGGACTCCAATATGGTCCAGTGCATGTCCTAGTGATTGAAGGATCAGGCTTGTGATTGGAGGATTACTGGTTCACATCCCAGCCTTGTGGTGTGTTGAGGAAGCATCAAAGAAAAGTGCAGCCCAGTCCTAAAGAGTATGAACTGTTTATTGTCTTTGGTTTTGGGAAAAGTTTAGGAAATACTACAAGATTATGAAATAAATCACACACAGTTTATGTTGTAAAAATAGTTATAGAAAATGCTAACAGCCTTTTCACTGCTGTATTTGAACCTTAAATGACTCCAAAACCTTTCACTGTAAAATGTGATTGATGAACCCCGTATTACCAGAATGCTTCACGTTTTCTATTTTATTTTATTTTCCTCTCTCTCTTCCTTTCCCGTGTTTCAGCACACGTTGGTTCAATAGAAATCCGTGATATTGTCCAAGGGAAAACGGTTCTAGGAACTGCAGCTAAAGCCAAGCACCTGTGGTCGTTATCAGGGATTTTGACAGTGATAAATTTGGGGAAATTCTATTAGCGCTTATCGTTACACGAAGAACTCAGCCATGGTGCCATACATTCCACACCGCTCTCAACACATTTCTCCCTGGGATTCCTGGTTCCAGCCCAGTCGGAGTCTCCTCCTCCCGTGTGTCACCGCGCAGTAACATGCAGATTGAATGATGAAGCAAAAATCAATAGGTTCTAGTAGGTGAAGTAGGACGGAGAATGAAATATGAGGGATTATTGATTGACATGCTGCTGATTAAATACTCTCTCCCTCTCACACACATGTTCCTCTGTTCTGTGTCACGGCCCTGTGGCTGCAGTGTGAACTGGTCCCACTGGAACTGATGGTTAGCGGACATTAGTGTAGTTCCTTGTCATGTTCCTTCTGTAGTTCTGACTGGGATATTATGCTTGTTTAAAATCATGACAAATAACACAACCACTGGTCTGCGGACTGATATTGGTCCGTAGTTCATTTGGCAGGGGTCCCTAGAGGGACACAGTTAAAAAAAAAGTACTTTGTTTTTGCCAATTTAATAGATATTCCAGTTATATATAATTACTTTCTTCATTTAAATATAATCTGAATTAACAGATTAATTCTAAAAGAAGTTTTATAATAAATACATTTTAGAAATATAAATAGTAATATAGCTGTCTTTGAAGTACTTTCTCCTAGTTTTGGGCAATAGTTATCTGATTTAATTTCTGGCTCACCCTCAACACACACACAAACACACACACATGCACAATCATACATCTTGAGGCAGCTAATGCTGGTTCTAAATGTCAGCCCCATCGGGACACGTTTGTCTCATTTGTCAATGTTACATTGTTTTTCTCTGTATGTGTATTAGTAATTATTCTTTGGTCCTTTCGCTTCTGCTCCTTATATACAGTATTTCTTTTTGTACGTAGTTGTGTGTGTGTTGTATTCCTCAGCCTGGTGATGATTACATTGGTAAGAAAGCTCAGGAAAAAGGCGATGAAAATGAAAGCTGGACGTATGTGGCTGTTGATTATAGTTTGTGCCTCTAGAAAGAACGCACTTTGTAAACTTTAAAAGTACGTGTGTCATTGTGAGTCACATCATTAAACGTTTGTCATATTATAAACGTTTACCACTGTAGATGTTGGTACTCAGAAAATTCACTACTGTTTTTGTAACTGATTTGATTGTTTTATTGTTTAAAATAAACCAACAATTATAATGAACAACTTCAGGCTTCAGTTAGTTTAGAAAACCTAAGAAAAAAAGAAACTTTACTTCCACCGTGATCGCTCAGCTGATTTACATAATATTTATTGCAGAAGATAAAATGTATAACAACATTAAAGTACAAAGTATTATTTTTCACTTAGAGTTATTACAACAATGATCACACAGTTTACGTTAATGACAGAAGTCAATGATCTCTATCGTGTTTCCGCCATCAATTACTCACCTGCCACTCCCAGCAACACATTCTGTCATACAGTTACAGCCAGGAAGATAGTTTTTACTGTGTACTGTTTGAGTAGAAGACAGAGCATTGACAAAATGTATTAAATGTCTGTGTGTGTGTGTGTGTGTGTGTGTGCGTGGATTTGTGTGTGTCTTACAGGGGAGACACTGCCACTGGCAACTTCCAATCAGATCATGCTGCGGTTCAATGCCAGGAGTGGTCAGTCAGCCAGAGGCTTTCACTTCGTTTACCAAGGTAACCCTCATTTCCTTCCCAGCCTTTTCACACTAATACTCAATAATTAAAGTTCAGCATCAAACCATCTTCACACCGTCACCGCAGCTGTTCCTCGGACCAGCGACAGTCAGTGCAGCTCAGTTCCAGAGCCTCGGTACGGCAGGAGGATCGGGTCTGAGTTCTCTGCTGGCTCTGTTGTCCGGTTCGAATGCAGTCCAGGGTATTTGCTGAGAGGGTCCAGCGCCATCCGCTGCCAGGCTGTGCCAGGTGCTCTGGCCCAGTGGAACGCAACGACGCCAACCTGTATCGGTGAGTGTGGGGGACCTTCGGTTATATCACAGTGAGATCAGTGATTGATCAATAATGAAGTTTTGAAAACTGATTATCATATGTGGCACCAAACTTTTTAATCTAAATAAGAAATTTCATAAAATCTAGATGATGTGAAGAAACGAAGGCAGCATCTCACTGGCCCACGGGCCATAAATTTGACATAAGTAATTTACAGTAATACAAATATTACATTGACCAATACTACAAATATTAAGTTTTTTGGTGAATCTAAGTAGTCTACTCCAGTTTATCAAACCTGGATCTCCTCGATTACAAATGAAACTCCTAAACAGCTGTTTATCAAATCAGGACCACTCCTGGTATTTTACTATTGAATCCATATCTGTAGGCCATGCTCTGTAGGTGATTATCATATGTGGCACCAAACTTTTTAATCTAAATAAGAAATTTCATAAAATCTAGATGATGTGAAGAAACGAAGGCAGCATCTCACTGGCCCACGGGCCATAAATTTGACATAAGTAACTTACAGTAATACAAATATTAAGTTTTCTGTTGAATCTAAGTAGTCTACTCCAGTTTCAGGACCACTCTTGGTATTTTACTATAAATTCCATATCTGTAGGCCATGCTCTGTAGGCCATGAGAGCACAGGTACTAGTGGCCTTCGTCTACTCGCCCATTTCAACATTTTTCTGCCTTCAACATGTGCAGAAGTGAAGCTGCTTCTTCTTTCGACCAACTCCAGGAGACGGGGGATTTGCCCCACGTTAACCTCACTTTACTGGCTCCTTATTAATTTTGGAATTGTTTTTAAGACATCACTGATGTTTAAAGGTCTTCCTGGCACAGCTCCCTGCTACATTAGTGAATCTCACGTCCCTTATGAGCCAGGGTCAGAGAGCAAGGGCGTGACCCTTGAACAGGGCTCCGTCTCGGAGATTCCTGATTCCCAGTGTAAGGCCGGAGATGGCAGAGGTTTCTGAAAACGTTGTAGTTTTATTAACACTCTGCAGAGAAACACAGAGTTTGTACTTCTGTTCTAGTTCCCTGCAGCGGAAACTTGACTGAGCGACGTGGTACGATCCTGTCTCCTGGCTATCCTGAACCCTACCCCAACAGTCTGAACTGTCTGTGGAGGATCCACGTCAGTGAAGGAGCTGGGATTCAGGTATGGATACAGTCAGTCTACAAACATACGTTGTACAGTGCACTGAAGGTACAAACACCATCGTAGGAGCGGAAATACAACCTTGGTTAATTCATCGTTTCACAATAAATGGTGATTCATGTTTGATTTATTGCTTTCAAAATGTGAGGGGAAATGAAAAAGTTTACAAATTTCATTTTGATTTTGTTATATTTGGTCAAAGTTGGCCTGAACTATTTAGAAATCAAAGCGTTGTTTATTCACAGACAAAGAAACATAAATCAACCTTACGTTGTGTCTGTTGACTCTTTGTATGATGTATTGTAGAATTTAAAATATGTATTTATAAATAAAGATTTCTGCATCTGAAACTCTCTAACGGATGATGTCAGTTGTTGACGTTGATGCGGTGTTGGTCGAGTGAAGAATTTAACAGACACGTTTTAATGTTTGCTCTCTCTTTTGGCAACATTCATTTCCAGCACTGATTGTGTTTTTCATTGCTCACATCACTTTTAGACAGTGAACCCACCGGTGGTCACTAAAGAGTTGAACAAAGTCATTTCCGTCTGTTGTCAGATCCAGGTGATGACGTTTGCGACGGAACACAACTGGGACTCCCTGGAGATCTACGATGGCGGAGACATGACAGCTCCCAAATTAGGGTCATTTTCTGGTACGAGAGTGTGTTTGTATACACACACACACACACACACACACCAACCAACCAACCAACCCTGGAGACCACTGATGATGGATGAGGGATGACATCTGCAAACCATAGAGAAAAAAAAACAGAAAAATATACATCAATGAAAATACACATGCACAGCAGTGAGTTCACCACACACACACACACACACACACCACAGCTGACCTCCCCAACTATGTGCATATAAAACCAGGTTAGATATGAATGTGAGGTGTGGTGACGGTGCAGTGAAGAGTGTGTGTGAGAGAGAGAGGAAGAACAAAGAGCGTGGAGCAGAGACAGGAAACGAATGATCTAACCTTTTACATTCTCCCAGTGGAGTTTCCTCTGTGACCTGCCCCAAGCACATACCTGTCATGCACACCTATCACACATTAAACTTAACGCCTATAGGGCACTCACTCACACACACACACACACACACACACACACACACACACACGTCTGCGCCCTTCTCAGGGGGCCACACAGGGGAGCTGCCCGCTGAAACCACGCTGACCTGCAGGGTGTGCTGCCCAGGAGAGAGACCACGGGTCACTCAGCTTCTGTACGTGTCAGCTAACAGCTACAGGAGAATTCAGTGGATTGTATTATTTGACAAAGTCGACATAGAACTCTTGAGGCAGACGCCACACTCTTGCATACACATGGTACTACACATGGTACTACACATGGTACTACACATGGTACTATCTGTGTTTAATTCTCTCCCAAAAGTGTAGTACATTTCTACGTCTTCTGTCTTCGATCTGGATCCAGACTTTTGTTCAAATTTAAGTCAGTTCATTTTAGTGTTAACACTTTTTCAAGTTATATTTTCATCTGAGATTTTCTTAATATGTAATTTATGTTATAATAACAATATTCAAGAGAATGACTTTTGACAAACTGCTTCTTTGGCTGAATTTCAAACCTGATCAAATGAACAGCTCAATAGTTTGAAGTTTGAATGTTAAAAATTGTCAAAGCTGTTGTAGACAATTTGACAAGTTATACTGATTATTACGATTATGACATT